TAGTGGAGACGATGGGAGGATACTGCGGTTACCTGGCAACAATGGCTGGACTGGCCTCTGGGGCTGATGCTGCTTACATCTATGAGGAGCCATTCAACATACATGATCTGGAGGTATCATCAGTTGCTCTTAATAACAATTGATTTATTAAAATTAAATAAATAATTAATTTACCAGTTAATATTCTAGTTTTCATACACCTGGTAATGCCCGTGAACATGTTTTAGTTTGCACTTTGAACACATTACAAATCAAATTACAAATTACATCTAAAATCTACATTTGCCAGTAAAAATCACAATTTCATATTTCCCCATATTTTTCCCCAATTTATTTTTTTATTTTGTGGAGAACATTTTGATGAATACATTTTGTGTTGTAGCTGAACGTGGAGCATCTGGTGGAGAAAATGAAGACCACAGTGAAGAGAGGACTGATTTTGAGGTGTGAAACCATTTACACTTTTCACTTTCTCAAGGCGTACCTAATATTTGTATTTATTTATATATTTATTTCATCTTTTTATGCAGGAATGAAAAATGCAACGCTAACTACACGACCGACTTCATCTTTAACCTGTACTCAGAGGAGGGGAAGGGAGTGTTCGACTGCAGGAAGAATGTACTGGGACATATGCAGCAGGTGTGAGACTTGTAGGATAAGTTATTAAAGCTGCACTGTGTAACTTTTTGGGAGAGGGCTCACTACTTGCTCGTCTCCATGGAGATTTTATTGCTTTTCCTTGAAAGCTGCACAATATGGCATTAAACTATTTATTTTCATGGAGACTAATGTGTGGCACCACCAGTAGGAGTGCATGTGTTTCCTGTTTTTAACCTTAAAAACACCTGTAATAGAATAATAAGACACACCAGTTTAATGTCATACTGTGGAACATTCCAGGTAAAGTAAACACATGTTCATGGTGATGATCTTCATTCTGAGGTTAAATCAAAATCTCTATTCACGTAAAATTACTGAAATAAATTACAATTCTACCAGGCTATAAAAAGTTGAATGCAAACTTGACCTACACAAAAATGTTGATATTTGGTTAAAAAGACTTTAGATTAGAACTTAACCCGGAACTAAACCAGGACTAGAACAGGAGTTTGAATCTACATCAGGATTAAACTGAGCCCAGATCAGAACCTTACTGGGACATTTCCTGCTTTATTTTTATTTCTTTTGGTGCATTATCTATCGTATTTTTTGGACTATAAGTCGCACCAACCAAAAAATGTGTAATGAAGAAGAAAAAACATATATAAGTCGAACCGGACAACTTTTGGGGAAATTAATTTTATAAAATCAGAGACCAGGAAATGACATTTCCTGTGTAAAGTCAAGTTCTAGTAAAAACAATAGAAGAGAGAACAACAGACTGTTAACGTCACATATGAACAGTTCTTCAGATAAACTATAACTTAAACAACAGAACAGAACATGTTTACCGAACTCTCCATCTCATTCCAAATCACTAAATCCATTCAATTCTTCATCCTCGGTGTCACTTCTGAAAAACTCGGCCTCGACCTCCGGAGGTAAACAGAGCGCCGCTTCCTCTTCTGTGTCATTGTTGTCCAACTCAGCATCAGTTCCAGTTAGAATTATTTGGGTCTTTCTGAATCCTGACAGGATGGTTTCGGTGTCACTGAAGTCCAGACTTTGTCCATCCATCCAGTGACTTCAGGAAAGTTTCATGGTGCATCCTCCCAGTGTCACAAGTTTCTCTCTCACTCTAAACTTTCTTTCTGCTGCTTGATTGTTTTCAGATGCAGATTTCACGACTTGCAGTTTGTAATCTGCAAAATATGATTTTGTTTTTGGGGCATTTGTGTTCAGTCTTTTCAGTCGTCTTTATAAGTTTGTTTAAATGTTAAAATGTTCAGTGGTGCAGAAGTAATGGTGCGATCGACTGACATCTTTATTGTTATTTATTTATATAGCACTTTTCACAGACATTTTTGTCACAAAGACGCTTTACAGAGCATTATTCAGGATTATTCATTCACTCTATACCTGGTGATGGTAAGCTACTGTTGTAGCCACAGCTGCCCTGGGGCAGACTGACAGAGGCGTGGCTGCCATGCCAATCGGCACCATCGGTCCCTCCGACCACCACCATCACTCACGCACACACCACTCATGACATGATACAGACAGGACAGAGGCTCTTTCTGCAGGAGACATGTGCAGTAGAGTGAAGTGACAGTGGTACTGGAGGAACAGGAACAGCAGATACTCACACACAAGACTAGAACCTCTCATGGCTTCAGTCTGAAAATTTTAATATATAAATTACACCCGAGTATAAGTCACAGGAAACACCCAAACCATGAAAAAAGTGTGACTTATAGTCTGAAAAATACCATATTTATTTTTCCCCTCAAAACTCATCATTGGGTATTTAGTCTTTTAAAACAGTTCCTAATTTACTAAACAAAAGTGATCATTTTCCTTTTGACTGTCCATCACTGTTACTGTTGCTGATTGTACATTGTCTTTCTGTCTCTGTTCAGGGAGGGACACCCAGCCCATTTGACAGGAACTTTGGAACAAAAATGGGCCTCAAGTCTGTGCTCTGGTTGACCGAAAAACTGAAGGAGTGCTACAGACACGGTAAGGGCCTTTTTGTTTAATGTTCCATCATTTTGTATTGATTTATTTTGTTAATTCAATTGATAGTACAAAAAAAAGAGATGAAAATTTTGATTATTAATACATGTCTTCTCTTGCCTAAAAAATAAAGAAAGGCTGCAAAATTTGTAAGTAATAATAATAATAATAATGTCTTTTAAGTAAGGGATTGTATGATTATTGTCACTGGGATCATGAAAAAAGAAAAGAAATGAAATGTTTTTGTCACTTTTGTCCACCGTAATTTGGTTCATCATGTTTGTTTCCATTCTAGGTCGGATTTTTGCCAATTCTCCTGACACGGCCTGTGTTTTGGGAATGAGGAAAAGATCCATGGTTTTCCAGCCTCTTATGGAAGCCAAAGAATGCACTGACTTTGAGTGAGTTTTTTTTTTTTTTATTGTAATACCTCATCAAAAAATTACAATTCAAGGGCTTTTATTACGCATTTTTGACCTATGTTATGATAATGTAGTTTCCTTATCAACAAACACACACAAACATAAACACAAACACACACAAACTCTGCATATTTAGACTGAGTTTGCAGAAAACACTGTTCCACCTTGTGATGTCATATGGTGACACTCCATACACCTTCACTAGAAACATTTTGGATAATTTCAGCCCTAGAATTCTCTGCTGGACTAAAGGTAAAAGGAGACGTTAACTTGAAAACTACCGTGAAACTACACTACATGACATCACAAGGTGGAACAAAGTATTTTGAGCTATCTTGATGTAGACAGATTAATAATATGGTTAAACATGTGTGAATGAAACAAACACAACATTCTAACACAGTTTAAGAGTCTTTTGAGAGAGTTTTATGTAATAAAGAGCCTTTACTGTATTATATTCTAACCAAAATTCTTTCCTTTCAGACATCGCATCCCGACCCAGCAGTGGTGGCTGAAGCTGAGACCGATCCTGAAGATTTTGGCCAAATACAAGATCAACCTGGACACATCCGAGAAGACTGAGATCGAGCACATCGTCAACACCAGAGGGCCACGGCGCTAAGACTTATCCAAATAAACACTGTTCTGAAATACAACCCTGTGGACACGTGCAATTAATGACCTATAATAATAACAATAAAACTGTATTTATGGAAACTGGCTGTGGTATTTACTGAGTTATGATACAGTGTGACATCTATGGTGACTTGATCCTCTGTAGTTTATTACTTTGGCCTACCTTGCACATGAAGATGAATTCAAGTTTTGGTGTTTCCTTGGTTAGTTTCATGCAACTCTTCCCCAGATAGTTCTTTTATTCACCAGCCTATGTCCTGCTCTGACTGACAGGGTGCTTTAAACAGGGGGTTCTTAACCATTTTTACCTTTAGGTCCATTTTTTTCAATACAAAGTCACTCGAGGGCCACTTCCATATTGAGCCAGTGAAATTGAAATAAAAATAAATGCACTTTATTTATATAGGGAAATTTGTCATCTGCATTTGACCTATCCTTCAGTGTCACCTACCTTCATGATCTTGACCTAGGCTTTGTACCTTAGCTGGAGAATTATTATAGCCTTAAAATACAGATGAAAATTTAAATAGGACTCAAGTAAAATAAGTAAATGTAATTAACGTACCAATAAGTAAAATTATAGCCTAGGCCTATATACAAGAAATGGATTGAGGAAAACTCATATCATAAAGTTGTGGTAGATATAGACTTGGATAAATACGCCCCATGATCTGTATTTATTTATTTTTTCCTTTTGAATTTAATGGGCTTTGTGAAATACCTCTTACACCATCTAGTGGAGACTGTAAGCTCTAAACAAATAAACTACTCTGTTATTTTGTTGTCTTATTTTACAAATCAGTTATTTATATAAAATACACACATACACACAAATAAACACATGAGTAAATAAAAAATACTACATGTTTTGTATTATTAGCTTAAAAGTGAGTTTTGACAAGGGTGACCAGAATTTTAAAATCAAAAACTGGGACACGTGGTTGGTAATAATAAAATTGTGAAACGAGTGCGTAATTAAGTTCTGCACTCGAGTCAGTATAGTCACATTTTCTATATTTTACCTAAACAAATGTCAATGTATGCCTCTTTTTACTGCTGGCAGGTTTCAAATTGGTCCAAAATAGGGACACATGGGACATTTCTTGAATGAAACTGGGACAAATAAAAAAATTTGGCTAAATCTGCTGGGTCAAGGGACACAGGGCTCAAAACTGGGACTGTCCTGGGTAAACAGGGACGTCTAGTCGCCTTAGTTTTGACTTCTGAGGTGTTTATTGTTATTCACTACATTTCCCATGAACCCTTCCGGTTTGGCGGATGTGCTATGTGATTGGTCAAAAGCTGCCATTCAAAACCAGTGCGCGGCGGACGGCGAAGTTTCCACGATAACAGAGCTTCTCAATTTGAACACTTTTACAACGTTTTTAGCTATAACTTAGGCATTCAGTTATGCCCGTCGAACTGCCATAGATATTTTAAGGAGAACAAACCTTTCTCGTTCATGTAAGTTATCTTTTAGCGTTTTAAAAGGACTTAGCTTTGTTGGTGTGTTGTGTAAAGACTTGTCAAATTATTTAGCAACCGTAGCTAAGCTTGTGGTGGATAACAGCGACACATACTATAATCCCGTGATAATCTAAGTAAAATGTAAACGTTTTGACTTGTTTTTTGATACAGCTGTCGACATGAAGTGTTTAAAACTGGATGAATATATAAAAAGGACCGCCTCCACCAAAGAAACGGAACTTTTGCGACTTGAACTACAGGTAGGTTTGTTTACCAGGCGTTACATAACAGACGCTTTAAATCATGTTTTCTTACACGTTAAAAGTGTGAAATACCAAGCTCTTCTCTTTAGTGGATCTATGTAACCTAACCTTAACTTTTATGTCTTGTTTCCTCCGTGTAATAGACCAGCATTTTTGTTGGAATATCAAATGAAAACTGATAAATTTGTATAAGATGGCATATTTCCAACTGAAACAGACACATTTTAATAAGATTAGTAAAGATTATATTCATGATTCCATATTGTGAAACTACAGATGAATTTCCCTTTTAGACATAATTTAAAAGTGACATGAAGTTTATAGTGTTAAGTAATTGAATGTATGACAAAGCAATTAGGTGTGTGCAAAAATATCGATATATCATAATAATTGTTTAATGTGATGATGCAGTATTGATATCGTGGGCTGCTATATCAATATAACGCCAAGAGTTTTTTTTTGTATATTTTACTACATTATTTGTTACAGTGCTACAGTTTTGTTGCTTGTTTAATGGAAGGATACTGCAACACATTTGAAATATTCAGTTTTGATGAGTAAAATGGATATTTATTTATGAGGGAATCCCATGACATGTAGCATCTCGTTTGCGAGGGGGTCCTAAATACATGAACAAAAATAGCGTTTACAGAAAAGAAAGAAAAAACAAATAAAAAGAGAACATAAGACTCACACAACACACAGACAACATTCATACTATACAATACAGGATCCTAAGGTATGTTTCTATTAACTTTGCATAAAAAGTGGTTTAACAAAGACTTTTAGTATCACAGTAATGATTTACCCTTTGTTTTTTATTGAGCCGGATCGAATCAAAAGTGCACCGTATCAAGATATGTATCATATCGTGGCCTGTGTATCGAGGTGTATCTTAGTGGCAACTTCTATATGATGCCTAGCCCTATGAGCCATTGGTAATGCTACAACACAGTAGATAATACAATATTTGAAATAGATTTGGGACAAAGTAAACTAAATGAGTAGCCTTTATGAAAAGGTTGAGTTATGTGAATCACAATTTTTTTCCTCATATCAGTCAGTCACAATTTACAATTCAATTTTGTTTTGTCAAATGAATATTTTTAACTTTAACGATACAGAACCTTTTAATCATTCCTATGTAACACAAAAAATAGTTAGAATTCTTCCTGCAAAGTCTGCATTCTGCTGACTATAAACTGTAAACATTTAAGTAAATACTACTAATGTTGAATGTATGTTTTCCAGGAGTATGTGACAGGTCAGCCAGGGCTCCAGGGGCGGACTCTCTGTGACCGTGTGGTCCGTGCATGTAACCACCATCTCGGGGTTAGTCCTTCAGACCGGGCCCATGTGGTGGAGTTGGTGAGGCTGGTGAAGGTGGCTGTGGATGGCTATGACAGAACAGGGCTCAGTGTGGCTCAGAGCAGTGCGTTTTACATGGAGAAGATCATTTTCCATATCCTGAAGAAGCTGAGCGCTCTGGAGGTCCACGGTCTGCTCAGTGACGTGGCCGAGCTGCTCCACACCAGGCTTTTGGGAGCAGAGCAGGTATGATGGGAATTAAAAGTGCTCTGTTTCTAGGTGATTATGTCACTGTAATGTATGGGGCAATTTTGAGTAATTTAAGAGATGCATTAGATAAGAGATTAACCTTTATTTGTAATTCCACATTTGAGCAAGATCTAAGAACAGCTGGACAATAAAAACAAAATGCAATATAGAATATAGAGTAAAGATTATAAAAATCTTATTTTGGCATCTGACACTGTGAAGCAATGAGATTCTAATTACATTTGTACCTTTTTAAGTACACGACCACACTTTGATTACGAATTAGATATGTTTCTTCTTTCTTCCTCTGCAATTTTATTCACTTTTTTGTCCTCCTTTGGGAAATTTCTTAGTTGTAACTGAAGCAGTGAAGTAGTTAAATTTTAGACCTGGTATAGTTCCAATTTTAGACCTGGATTAGATCTGCACTCAGAAAGACCTGTCTTATTTTAGGTGATACTTTGTGTGAGGACCACTATCTTAAATGTTATTTGAATTGGTTAAAATGATTAACATGACTAAAATGTCAGTTATCACTTCATTTCTGTGGTAATTAGGTTTATTTATGATTACTGACACTGTATTTTTTATAGTGTGAAGACCACAAGACTCTGGCTTGGAGCAGTTTCTCTGTTCTGTGGAATGGACTCTCTGCCTCCAAAGACAAAACCACTCTGACCCCACGGGACAAACTGCACTGCCAACTCCAGGCTCTGAGCTTCCTCCTTTTATTAGACCCAGAAAGTGACAACTCTTCACCACTGAAAGCTCCAGTTTACGCCCAAGATGCGATTGGACAATTTGAAAACAACCGTTCACTGACAAAGGAGGACTCAATCTTTTTGTCAGAGGAAATACACAAGTGTTTTTCAAAATTTTGGACAACTGGAAAAGCTGTGGATGAAAGCGGCGATAACCAGCATAGAGAGAAATCAAATTTACAACCCATTTTTCATATTATAATAATCGTCACAAAGGTTTTGTGTAAGGCAGGCCACTACGACACAGCCACTAGCTTATTAGAAAACATTGAGAGTAAAGTTAAAGCGCTTCCTGATTGCCCATCTGCAGCGTTGGTGCTTGGTAGACTGGCGGTAAAGATCCATGTTTCAATGAAGGAGTCTCGTGAGTTTGGGCAGTATTTAACAGAGTGTGCCCGTGCCCTGAGGTCCCTAGAGGTGATTGGGGGTACTGAAGCTAACGCGGTGCTGGAGGCGTGTGGGCTGGTGGTGTGGGCCGTAGAGAACAGCCACACCACAGCTCTGAGCGGGACTCTGCTCCTCTCCTGGTTCTCTTTTCTGGAGGAACATCAGGAGTGTATATCCAAAGTGCTCAAGAAGGTCAGTATAACAGACTAGTGTTGTTTCTGAGAGTTTTGGAAAATGTCACTGTTTTTATTCACATCTTGCAGCCCTAATTCGACATTTTTTCCCTTATATTGATTGCTCACACAAAATTGCTCTTATTTAAAATTTGTATTCTCTCCAAACCATTCTTTTACTGACAGAAACTTGAATCTCGTAGACCACAGTTAAAAAGTCCCAAGCTGCTCATTGTGCAGCTAATAAAATTTTGCATTGCGGTCAGATTTATGTCATTTATTGTAAGTATTGCAAATCTAATTTTATTATTTTATATCAGTTCAGTTCACTGGATTTTAAATTCAATCAGAAGCTTTTACATTTGAGACAATCATGAACAGCCATCACTCATATATTATGCTTTTAAAACGAGTCTAATTCTACAGAGTTAACAGGTTTTATAGAGAATAAGGCCTAAAGAACTTTGCATTGACTGCAGAGGTATTGCTTTTTTTTTTTAACTCCTCAAATTGTGATTTCTATTCTATTGCTATTCCAACTGCTGCCCCACTGCAGTCCAAATAATTTACTAAGCAACCAGAAGCCCCAGTGCATAAATACTGAAATCTGTGTTCATTTCAAAAACACACATTGTTTTCTTTGTTACAAACCTAAAAATTTTGTCATTAATTCATTTTTATGGATTCATTGCATTTCACCTTTTATTTTTACATGCAGAACTCAAATTGCCAAACTGAAAACAACAAACTTCAGCAGATCCTTTGCTTCAGTATTTACCAAGGCTTTGTGTTTGCCTATGAGAGCATGCAGGCTTCACAGGTAAATGTATGATGTATGAGTTAAAATACGGTGAAATACTACGATTCAAACATCGTAAATCTGTCTTTTTCTCACAGCTGGAGGACAGTGCCATACTGGACAGAGTGCTCCTGTTCTGCCAGGCCTCGGCTGCTCAGATCATGGGAGAATTACAGAAACTGGACAATGAAAACCTGTGCATCAAAGCTGGTGATTATTTGATTTAACCATTTAATACATCAAGTGACAATGAGAGTCTGCCAACTAATATATTTAGTTTTCCTAATGTAATGTTTTTGCAGACAAAAGGGTTATACATGAGTAAAACTATCAAATAAACACACAATAACAGTTGAAAAATAAATATTGGCTCTTAAAGACATTTTAATGAATTTCTTTTCAATCACAGAGGCCCAAACCCTCCAACCACATTCATGGAACAAATTCAAGTATTTGTACATGTAGTATAACAAGTCCATGAAGTAGTATTTATCATCATTTTTATTTTTAAAATATACGGTTGGTCAACTAAAAGCGTTGGATTTTGTCCACTAAATTTGCAAGACATTTTGTTTATTAAATGTGTTTATTTATTTATTTTTTTAAATTTGTTTGTTTATTTAAATTTGTTTATTAAATTGACTAAATAAACTACAACCGATCCAAAGACTAAGAGTAAAGCTATTAATTTTTTTTCATAGCCATTCTTACTTTATTTTGCTTTTCCATGTCTTTCCTTATAGTGGTGGCTGTGAGTAATTTGGCCTGTGGACTGTATAACAGGCGTCTGTATGATCAGGCCTTTGTGCTCCTGGAGATCCTGTGTAAAGACCTGAGCAGAAACACTCCCTCCTCACTGTCTGCTGACCGGGTGAGTTCTTCAGAAATTATCATCTTCAGCATCCAAAATGTGTTTTGGGTTTAGGAAGGCTCTCCTAATGTAAATTGTGGATATTTGGGGTTATACTTCAGAGAAATGGAATGTTTTGTGATTCATATTTTAAAGTCACAAGTGTATTTACTCTAGATTTTGAGAGACAGAATAAGAGTCTATATCTTTTAGAATGTAGATGTTTTGTTTTCCCAATTACAAAAATTTGTTTTGGATCAGCCAGGGCAGATTGTCTTTTTACTGCAATCTTAACATTCTTTATCCCCAATAACAAATGTTTTGGTGTGGAAGTGTGAAATATTGTGTGTATGCTGATGTAAAGAAATTATAATGTGTTCGTTTGAGCACATGTATATTGTGTATATGTTTGTGTCCAGTTGAGTCGTCCGTTCATGCTCGCGGTGCAGGCTTCTCGACGCTCTGGTCACCTGGAGCGAGCGTTGGACTGGGTCATTCTGTGGCTGAAGGCTCTTGGAGACAAAATCACAGGTCACATGTCTGAACCTGTGGCATTGTGGGTAAAAACAAAGATGGACGCTGCCAGAAACTCTGACGAAGACCTCAGATTGAGGTATGAGCTAATGCCTAAATTAAGGAAAAATTTGGTTTGTTCTAGTTGGTCTATTTTTCATTTTTAAACATTGGTTTTTAACTGGGTAGCACTGTAATCTTGTTTATAAGTAACTTTATAGGCAATTTATTAACTGTCCAATATATAGATTAACACAATTTTGTGTGTTATTTTTATTTTTTAATCCACATTATCTTGCATTTATTAAATTTTATTCAAAAGTCCATCCTTTACAATCTCCTATTTCCCCAGAACCTTGCGTGATGGTTTCGGTTCAGATGTCCCAGAGGAGGGGGTAATGTTGGCCCTGCTGGAGGAGGAGCTGCGGGCGTACAGAGACTCCCCAGGGGACACAGCTCAGGAGCGGTACAACACTCTCTGTGACCTCCTGGATATCTGCCACGAGGACAGTCCCCACACACACCTCCGAGCCGTCTACCTCTGCTACATGGCCCAGGTTGTCTGCTTCCAGGACTTCAGTGAACAGACTGACTGGTGAGTACTGCTCTGTCATCATACAACTGATACTTTTGCAGTCGATGATATCAACATTTCTGTGGTGTGATGCTAACTGGAGGTCCTGCTGTGTCTGAAGCTCTGTTAGACTTAAATCTAAACCGCTAATTTAACACAATCTGACCACAAAGCACTGATTTACTTGGAACTGCAACAGGCTGATTTTGTGCTGCTAAATAAGTACCTTTTAATATAAAATTAGTCACAAGCTGGATAGCATTAGCCAACAGTTTACATTTGGTCACTGTCACATTTTTGTTGAAAATCAACTTAAACTGGACCATGAATACTCGGACTGATCACAGACTCCTGAAAATGACATACATGCAATGCCCCCCTCACTGCAAAATAACTTGATTACAGTTGCGTGTACTTCGCCATGAAATATCTAAAAGGTAAATTCACAAAATTGAACTGTATTTCTTTTAGTAACTAGACCCTAGAAGTTGCTATATTACAACAAAAATCTGTTTTAATATTATTCATTTTAGCTGCCCTGATTGAATGTTGTGATGAAACCCAGTAATAAAGATTTCTTCAATGAATGAGAGATGAAATATATGTTACTATTGTTTTTTCTCACTGAACCATTTGCTACTGACTAATTAATTGAAACAGAGCAACAGCCTATAGGCCTTAATATTTGTTAGATGGTCGTATTTGACTCAGATGAAGAAGAATTTATAGTTTAGCTGTTCTGATAAGCATTTCATTATTTTGTGGAGCATTGTGGGTATTTTAATCTGGTTAAAATGACTTGAGAAATACTAAATGAGTCTTGTTGTAAATGACCTTTACATGATTTAAATTCCATTTATTCTCTAATTTTACAGCTCTGCAGTCGATTTTACCCATGAGGCTTTGCGGCTTCTGGAAGCAGAACTGAGAACTCCAGAGAACTCGGACAAACTGACGGACGACACGGCCCATACTCTGTTATGGCTTTATATCTGCAGCCTGGAGAAAAACCTGCAGGATGTGGGGCTTGATTTAAAGTTATTCCCATGTTTTTGCATAATATAGGCATGCTTATGTAACATTTTTACCCATTTTAGGCTATTGCGGAAGACAGGAAGCGGCAGCAGCTGAGAGACCAAACCCAGTGTGAGACCAACCCGACCTGGACCAATGACTTTGAATATGAAGACAAACAGAAGAACCAGGAGAGCGTCACTGTGTACGAGGGCCTGCACTTCAGCCTCCATGCACAGAACAGTATGGCCACTTTTTAATTAGTACTTACATTAAAAATCTGTACTTTTTTGGTAGCTTTTTCCATTCGTAGAACTATTTCTTTCTATTTCTTCTATGTTCTTTTTCTATTCTATTCTATTTCTATTCAAAACATACACCAAGTCTCACTAACTGAAGAAAAGTTGCAGTTAAATTCACAAATTAACCACTTTTATCTAGAAAAATGTATATTTGCATCAATTACTACTTGTATAAGAACACATGGAACTATTATTGTGATTGATGAAAAATAAATTCTTTCTGTTTTCATTGTGGTATCAAAGTTTGTACAGAGTATGATATTTATGATACTGCTTTTTAAAAGGGGCTGTATTGCACTATTTTCTGATCTATGTTATAATGTTTCCTTATCACAAACAGGCCTGGAGTTGCGTTTTGTTTCATTCACACATGTTTAACACACAAACCCTGCAGATTCAGGCTGAGTTCTTTTTGTTCTTTCTGACCTGAAGAGTCAGTTTAGTGTAATATTTAATTTTGCCCATTCATTTTTGTTATTTCAGAGCAGAGCCAACCTTTGGAGCGAGCTTTAGCTGACTGGACGGCACTTCTGAAAAATGAGGCTCTTCCGTCCGTGAGGAGCCCAAAGCAAACCTGCACCTCCATGTCTGTGATGGCTGCTCTCTTCAGACTCATGGGGAAGGTAGAAAGAACAATGTTTAAGTTTGTTTCCGCGTCATGATTTTTTAGGGTCAGTAGTTGGTAGTAGTTTAAATAATTCTTAGTTATTTAGTAGTTAAATTTGTTCTTGTTTGGAAATTCTTTGTGGTACAACGTTAAGTTGTATAGTGACTGCAGAGATTTGAATAATGACAGGACATATAGACTAAAGTTTTTATTTACTGTAACTCATAATTCATTTATATATGTTTAATTTATAAAAGGGATGATCATGGTGTAGGATTTTGGCAATGGCTTAAAGGGCTCATATACCTAATCTGTGTTTCCTCATCAAAAACATACCTGGAATTTTGTTTCATTCACACATGTTTAGCATAGAAAAATCCTGCATGTTTAGGCTGAGTTCTTCTCTTAAACAGAAGACACTCCATCTTGATCTCAACTGTATTTTTAAACTCCATACACCTTCATTAGAATAATTTGGATAATTTCAACCCTGGAATTGCCAATCTCTACAAAAAAAAAGGTAATATGTAGTTGTTAAGTTGAAAACTACTAGCCTGATTTCACCTCATAGAAACTGTCTGACCTCGCAGTGTTAGAATTCATTCGCTTGACGGTAGGTGGGTAGGTGGTACTTTTTATCATTTAACCAATCGCTGCTATTTGGTCGTGATGTATGTAATGCACCACTAACGGAGCTAACTGGTATATTACGCTTTTCCTAAATCCCGTAGGAAGAAGGACAATAATAATGTCTTTCCCCTTGATGAAATTCACCAAACATTCTCTTTATTCTGGCTTTAAATCCTTGATAACACAGAATATATGGCTCTTTGCTGATTGGCTGGTGCCCGAACTTGCACTTCCAGGATTTTTGCAAACTATCCAGTGTATTTTGATTCCTGACCTAGTCGCTGGAGAGAAATGAAATTGAGCAAAGGCACTAGGTGGTGCCAGCCTGGCTAGAAAACTACTGGAAATATGGAAAAATAATGACATCACAAGGTGGAACAGAGCATTTTGAGCTTTGGAGATGTAGACTAATAATAAGGGTTACTCAAACACGTGTGACTGAAACAAAACACAACTGCAGGTCTGTTTTTGAGGAGGTAACAATAGTACAATGTAACTAAAAGCTCACAAGAGTAAATTTTGTATAATATAGGCCCTTTAAAGTGGTAAACAATATTATCGGTAATGGTTATATGTTCTGTTACATTGATTCATAAAATGTCTCTTTCTTCTGAATAGCCTTTAAAAGCAGTGGAAACTTATCAACTGGCCATTCAACTCGCCCAGAAGCTCGGAGAAGCTCAATACTGTGCCGCGTACCTTTGTCAATCGGCCAGTCTCCTCCTGGACTTGGGGACCCCTGAACTGGCTCTGGTAAGGATCTATATCACTTATTTGTGTATTTTGGAGCCCCTGGACAGTGGCATGGACTTTTGGTATTTAAAAATGCATTTCTGTATTTGTTTTCAGACTCAAATTGAAAAAGCGGAGAAGTGTCTTGCTTCAGAAAGCTCCTCTGAAGGCCCCTCTTCAGTCTCTGTGCTGGTCACTCTGTTGAAAGCTCAGTACTGCTACAGCTCAGGACAGGTGAGTACAGTCAAAAGGGCTTCATTTATTCAAGTTGTATTTTTTTTTTTATAATACTGTGCAGTGCGAAACTGAAATCTCTAGCATGATTTTAAAATGCCACGTCTTTAGTTCAGTAATTTGAATTTGTCATTTTTTATATAGGTTGGAATAAGAAGTGTATTGTATTTGTAATAAGTAATCACAAACAAGCAGAAGATTAGGCCAGTTTAGTACACAATGGATATACGTTTTGCTGTGTTGTATTAATAGTGTTTGATTTCAGATCTCGCAGGGAGTCCCTTTTCTGTGTGAGGTTCTGAAAGAGGCCAGTGATCAGAGACAGTCTAAGAGCTGGTATCTGCTCCGGGCTCGCGCTCTCCAAACGCTCGGCTCATATCTGTGCTTAGACACAAAGACTCTCCCACAGGCCCAGAGGAGCCTCATACAACAGCACGGTCAGTTTATGTGCAGGCATTACTCTATTTGAACGAGAGTGCGAAGTTATATACAGTGATGGGTGCACTGAATAAGCAGATATACTCTGTGGCACAAATCATTTCTTTTTGAATCATTTAATGCCTTGGTATTGTTAAGCAGGCATTTTGGTTGAAATAGCAACTTATGTCAAGAATATGAGAAACATTTTACTGTGCCAATATATAGCCCAGCTTATTTTAGGACAATGGAAATTCTCCCTAACAGTGATCTCCCACTTCAAGGTCCCAGGAGAAAATTTCACATATATTTTCCCCATAACCTTTCTATTTAAAATCTGTTTCTGAAACTTTATAAATCACAAAATAATTTAAATATTTGGTCAATTTTAGGTAAAACATTTTTGGACCGGAGTAGGAACATAGTTACCACATAGATCATAGGGCTCATAGATTTTCGAAAAAGTCTTTACTTGTGGAACTTCTAATTCTGAAGCTTTGACTCTACTCTAAAATGATGTCTTTGTTTTTTTACACGTAGGCTTCATCAGCCCCGACACAGCAGTGTATGAAAGTCTGAAGCTCTTTTGCAGCCTCCTGGTCACTGTGGTCGGAAAAGGTCTTTATGGGAACAGTGGTGGAAGCTCCGAGGTGCGCTTCATCGACCAGGGTGAGATTTTAGAACAGGAATAATGGTAAAGATGACCTGCCTGGCCTTTCTCTCTCTCTGCCTTGACCTGAAATTTAACTGCACGTGTATGTGTGCCTGTGTCCAGGGGAGAATCTGTGCTTAAAGTGGCAGTTGCTGTGTGACCTGCTGTGCTGCTCGGTTCAGATGGTTTCTGTTCGGAGACATGCTGGAGCTGTGAACGACGCTCGACTGCAGTGTCTTGAGGCGCTCAAACTGGCCATCAAACTGCAGGCACTCAGCCAGTAAGTCCAACAGGCCCCTTCTATGCATTTGTACAGGATTATAAAGTTACTTTGGCTTTGGCCAGTATCTTGAAAATGTCATTTATTTCCACATTTAACTTAAATAGGTCAAATTATTTATCCTTCAAGTAACTACAGGACTGCTTTGTAAATCAAAAATGCATTCTTACATATTCACATTATGAGATGTTCTGGCAAACACCAGCCAGTAAATAGTCTTATTACATCAGTTTATAGGCCTTACCACTATATCGACTACAATGATATGTTTGAACCAATACTCGATACATCAACATCCAGGGCATCTGATACCAGTAGCTCTACTGGTGCGTCCCTAGATGCATATATCAAGTCATTATCACTTTTCTGCTTGTTAATGTCTGTGTTAGGGGGTGTAACGATATCCAAGTGCCACAATACAATATCGTCACGGTATGAACCTCATGTTACAATATTTATTGCAATATCGTGGGTAAGCTCACGATATGGTAGGGAGGCGCATAATTAGGGATGTAACAATATACAAATCTCTCTGGAAGATATTTTCATGACATACATCTCACAGTACGATATTTATTGTGATATTTTGTGGAGACTAAACAGCTAAAACTGTTAATATGCTGCTTTTTCCTCTTAAAATGACTTGACAAGACTTAATCTAACGCACTAAGACTGTTAAAAATGTTATTTCTTCTTGTAGTCTCCACTGAAATGAAGCAAAGGATCATGGTCTATGTAGTTCCCTCTGTCTTTTTTTTAGCTGTTGCTGCACTATAACTCTTCATTTAAGCAAAGAGACTTGCAACTCGATATTTCGGTTATTGTTACACCCCTAGTCTGTATGCTGCCACAGTTCTTTATAAAAGTTTTCTGTATAGAAATGGAACGTTCACCTTGTGAAACCGTATTAAAACATCCATAAATGTGTTTAATCTTTAGGTGTGCTGAGCTGCTGGTGTTGAAGGCTGAGCTGGAGCTGATGCAGGGAGAGAAAGAGGAGAGTGGACTCGACCTGAACAAAGTCAGAGATCTGCTCGAACTCTGCACTGGTCAGTAGAAAAGTTACACAATGCACCTTTAAGTTTTACACTCAAGACAGTATTGGATACTAGAAAGATGTTTGAATTGAAATTAGAATAATATATGTTTCTCTTTTTAGATGTTTCAAATAAACAGCAAAAGTCAGAGATGAAACTCAAACCCAGAAAAGGCCGTTTAGCTCAGAAGCCCGACTCCCCTTTCCCCGCTACTGAGGACGACCTGGCGGACATCTTGAGCACCCGCTGGATCACCAGAGAGCCTGTCCTGACTGACCCAACCAGCTCCCCTCCCCTTAAATCTCTGCCCCGCCGTTGGCTCTCCGCTTTGTCTCATAAGATAGACTGTAGCTGCTCAGTCTGCCTTGAACCTTGCCTGGGTAGAGTTACTGTTCGCTGGGCTGCTACACGTGCCGATTTAGACCTCCTGCTAGACTCAGATCAAGCTAAAACCGGACTAAAGCTGCACTGGGCTGCACTAGCTCGCTCCAAGAATATATCAACCAAACTTGGGGCAAAATTAGCTAAGATATTTGCTGAAAAATCCAATGCAAAACCGTTATTTTTGCAGGATGTGATGGCACGAATATATCTTCGCATTGCCTTATGTGGGCTTGACCCGAGAATGAGTAAAGTTTGCAATGCGTGGAAAGGCGTAGAAGCTGGTTTAGCGTTTCTGGATTCGACACCTAACCCAGTAGTCCAGCCAACCAAAGCAGCGTTAATGGCGACTAAAGCAATTCTGTCACTGGTTACAATAGCGTCCACTAAGGGTTGTCTACCAGAAGAGCTATTTTCACATATTTGGGAGTGGAAACTACCAAAAGAGATCACAGAGATTAAAACGGAGCATAAAATTGTTCCTCCGACACCTCTGGCAAAGAAAGACTCCACAGCTAACACAAAAGACAGTGTTAAAAATGAAACATCAGACAAAACAAAAGAGTTGAAGAAACCTAAAACTGTCAAAACAAGAATTGACAGTTCAAGTTCTTCGTCCAAGGGGAGAAATATTGTTCCCATGACGCCAGTGATCCCAAAGTCAAAATCCACATTCGGAGAGCTGAGCGTGTTTGATTTCAACACGGCTGTACCCACTCTGGCCTGCACCCCGGTGCATAAGTTCAAACCTCCGGCCTCAGCGCAGAAAGCCCCCAAAACAGCCTCAAAGTTCCAAGTTTATGAAGAACTGTCCCCAGAGCCGGAGCCAGCCCACCCTGTCCCCGCTGCTCCAAGACGGACAAGGAGACTGAGGTTTAAGGTGAGACTGAATTTATCAATAGTATTTAGTTACAATAAGGGAGCCACAAGGTCTTAAAAGTATTAAAAAGGTCTTAAATTTCATGTTCCTAAATTAAGACCTTAAAAAGTTTTAAATTCTGTTGTCCAAGTCTTATTTTTTTCACAAAGGTCTTAAATTTCATTAGCCTGTTTTTTTGTTTTACTCAACCGGGCTGCAGTGCAGGGTTAAATGGAGGGAGGGTAAAAAAACAACATAACGTGAATGAACGTCTAATTTGGAGTATGCGCAAACAATGCTTTGCAATGAGTAAACAACCAGTTTCCTCTACACTGCCCAAGACGCAAAACTCTGGTCAGATCTGCTCACATCACGTACATGTTTACGTCACATACATCACCACCGAGCCGCCTGGCATACATACACACACAATCCAATTCCACACACTTTTGCATCACTGTATGCATGCAGATGTCCTTCCGAAAACACTCGTCTAAACACGGAATAAAGAGTGAAGACGCTACGCCACTTTTGTGTCTTCTGTTAGGACTGTCATCATATAAATGTAGCCTTAGATTCTATATATACTACTGGGAGTTGGTTGGTCATTATTAGAATTGGACCTGGTGTTGTAATGGGTATGACGTTGGTCTTAATTTTCATTTAAGTGGTCTTAAAAAGGTCTTTAAAAAGTCTTAAATTTGGGATACCCTGTACAAATGGAAAAATAATGACCAAACTTAACATGAGTTAAGTAGAGTGGGCACTATTGACAGAATATTGATTAGGTTAGGAATCTGATCCCTAAGTAATTGTATAATTTAAAGCCACAGTATCTGATTTTTTTCCAGTTTTAAAATATCAAAAACAGAATTAGTTCATTTTAAACAGTTTGCAGTGGTCCAAAGTTCTTCCTCACATGCCTTATGCATTCAGAGCATCCTATTTATTGACCACAATGAGTTTTTAAGCACTTTTTACAACTTCACTTCGGATTCTTTAATAACTAGCATTCTCTGACAATAAAACATGTTATAATTGACATACAGACAGTACACGGAGGCTTATACAATTTAGCTGTTGTGGGTCAAGACACATTTCATTCAAATACATCATAAAAATCTCTGACTAGCCCTTTAATGTAGTTCCATAAGTCCTTTCTATTGCTAAATTGCATAAATATTTCCAAGATTATGACTATTATTCTGTTTAATCCTAATTTCCATTTTTTATTCAGGTTGACTTCAGTGATGAGAGTGACTCTGAGATCAATCCACAATCGACCAAGAAAGAAGCCACAAAAACCCGCTCCACCCGAAAATCTGTCCAGAGCAGCAAAACTTCCTCTACACCTGCCACGCCTGCTGCACCTGTCACCTCTGCCATCGAAAAGACCCCAACCGCCAAAAGGCCCGGGCGCAAGAAGACCACCGTCAGCATCCAGATGACTTCATCTGAGGATGAGGAGCCGGCGCGGAGAGGAAGGTCAAAGAGGCCGACCAGAGGAGCCAAGACGGAGGGAGAGGAGGAGGAGCCGGACAAAATGAGAACCATCGATGAGGAGACTGTGGAGGTGCTGGACATGAGCATCGAAGAACTGAGAGCGTCTGATACAGAGACAGAGGAGGGGGCGGAGACGGCCATGGGTAAGATCATGAGATTTAACATTTACTTCACATTATTATTGATTTATGGATCAGAATTGTACGGTCTAAAACCAAACTAACTTTTGTCCTGGTTTAATGTAATTGTCTAATTCCTCCCACAAAAAACTAAATCTGAATCAATTTTCTTTTTCTTCACAAATACAATTTCTCCACTAGTGTGATTTTTTTTTTTTTTTTTTTTTTTTTTTTTTGAAAAATTGCATTATAGAATCACAAAGATATGATTGTGGCTAACAAAGAACTTAAAATTAAAATTAATAAAATATGGCATATGGCCTAAAGAATCACCCGCCACTTCCAAACCTGACACCTGAGTGCTGTACTGTTTACACACACATATTCATAAAGCTCTCCCCAAGCTACTTTTTCACTTAATACAGCAAGTCTGTTAAATCTTTTTTTTTTTTTATTGGTCACACTGATATCAAGTTATTATTACAATAAGTTGGAAACCAGTCCAAACTTGATTGAGTTTAAAAATGCTTGAGTTCTTTGTGTTCTTTCAGACACAGACTTTGAGGTTCTGAGACGAGACATGGCCTTTGGTTTGAGAAAAGGTGACGTGTTTGAGCTGAAGAACAGGGGCCACCCAGCAGAGGGCACACAAACCCAGCTGCCCCAAGACAACTTCAAACCAGGTGGGCTTTCAAGTTCATTTGTTTTTAGTATGGCTAACAGATTTTAGAAGAATGAGTAATCATGATTTTCAAGTTCTGATTTTGAACCCATCTAGTAACATTAACGTTTGATCAAAGACTAAAACCTGAACAGCTAAACTCGTATAAGAATTCAATTTTAACACCTGTTTATAGCGATATAAACTACAACGTGTAGCAGGCTTAGCTGTGTTTTTTACATGAGAGAGGATGATTTATTTTTCGTATTATGTTAAATAACTGCATTCTTTGAGATTTTGCTAACTGCAATATTTCAAAATATTTCATTTTGATTGCGATATACAGTATCCTGCAATCTAATTTTTAGTGATCTTGTCATATGAGGGGATGGTAATATTGACATGAATAAAAAAGTACAATTTTCTTTTTTTCTCAGACAATCTGTCCCTGTGTGAGGTGCAGTCCCTGCTGTCGTCGGCCTGGTTGATCCTGCAGCACTGTCCCTCTCCAAACATCTACTCCTCTGTCTGTGCTCTTCTGGCTCTGGCCACAGGACAGAATGACCCTCTCACTACTGCCCTGCTCCACATTGAGGCTCTGGGCATCTCCAGCCGACACCGCACTATCCGGCATCTGGCCAACTCTCTCAAGTAACTATTGATTTACTTCTGTTAAAAATGTAGTTTGTAACTTTTCTCCATGGAGATCTATTGTTTTGCCTGGATTGTTCATAGGATGGCATGAATTAATACTGTACTGTAATATTCATTCATTTTTACCATTTGACTAATGCCTTAGCCAATAATGTGCCAATATTGTGATATATTTCAATTCTTTTGTGATTTGCTTTGTTTTTCCAGGAAGCTAAAAAAGAGTTCAAACGAGCTTCAGGACAGGATGCAGTCCCTGAGTTTAGATGAGCCTGGTCCAGATGAGCCCAGGGCCTCTGCAGCTCACAGACTCACACAGCTTCAGAGGGTCTTTTCTTTCCCCAACGCAGACGCCTCCCATTTCCCAAAGAGCCACTGTCAACAGCTCATGCAGCAAATTCAGCATCTTCCTCCAGGTAAATGAGTTGGTCATTCACTGTGTTTTTAATTAATCTATGCTTAAATATCAGTGTAGTGTAGTAGTCTAATATAAAGTATCTATACAGAATTGTCAAACCCCTTTTAGTTTCTTAAATTTGTCTATAGTGTAATCCTTTATTAAATCTGATTAAATTAATTATTCCTAAAATTCTCTACTGATTACCACACAATGGAAAATTAGCAGGATTTGAAGAGGTTTTGCAAAATAAAAAAGAGACTTAAATAAACATTCACATTGTATTCAGATCCGACGCAACAACTAAAAACACCCTGTCCTTTCCTCCCATTCTTCCTTCTCCCCCCGTCCCTCCCTCTCTCAGGAGTCGTGGTGTGCGTTCTGTCCGTGGTGGGGCTGAGGCCGGGGCAGATGGGAGACTCTCTTCTTGTGTCTCGACTTGAAAAGGACCGTGCTCCTGTCACTGTGCACATCCCCAGCTCCAGACAGAAGGTCAGAGCCCAGGCTCAGGAGGCACATCACTGTCTGTGTCAACACAACATCAACCACTAACACTGTAAACAAAGACAGCAGGATGGGGGGAGGGAAACATAAAACTATGCTCATTGGGTTCATAAATTGTTACTTTAAAGATCTTTCACAAATCAAATGGCTCAAAAAGGACTCTGCTCTAGATCTACACTAAACTAAACCTCAGCATATGCAGCCAGTCATTAATCAATGCTTCTGCTGCTGCAGTATATTCTGTTTGCATATTGGGACTGGGGAAAAAAACTTGGTTAAGGCACTGGCAACCCAGGTTCAGACCTTTTTAACAGTAATAGCACAAGCTGCACACAGATATTTTAAGTGTTGTGCTTAAGACACTGATTTTGAGATCTTTGACATTCTTTTTGGGGCAAAAAAATGTATTTGGCATTTGAGGAAATGGACTGATGTTAATTCACTTCCTCCCATGTACACTGAGTATATTCTACATTCTGTACATAAGCAGATTGAGATGAGTTTAGCTCGTATTGTCTTGACCATGACTCCATTGCTTCACAGCGTCCGTTGAGCTGGCTCGTGCAGGAGATCGACAGTATCCAGGTGGAGCAGAAGGTGGTGAGTTCTGTGGCTGATAAAGCCAAATGGTGGGAAGGACGCCGAGCCCTGGACACAAGAGTCGAGGTGAGCTGCAAGATAAATAAACTGCTGAATCATTCTTATTGCAGTGTTTCCAATGGGTTTGTTGTATAAAGACTGTGACTGAGACTTTTATTGATTCAACGAAAGTAATTAATGACAGTTATAAAATAAAAATAAAAATAATAGATAGAATAATGATCTTTTTAAATGATCTTAGCCATGGATCACATGTCCACACACTGTCCTTAAAGGTCAAAAGGTTAAAAGATTTAAAACAGTAAATAGTACTTTTTACACTAAGGTATAAAATATGTTATATCTGACAGTTTTATGTGGTTTAAATAGACATTATAAATGGTATGTTTTATGGTCATGACAAACTTATGAACCTATAATACTAGTATTCATTTTTATTTCCAATTTTGAAAAAATAAAAATAAAAAATGACAGCTGAAAGTGCCATCCAGTAGTGAGCACTTTATTGTCTTAATGTGAAAGCAGACCAGTTAAACTCAGAAGAGGTTATGTAAAAACTTTGAGGGGCACCACAGGCTAAAGGACAACACTCGTTCTATCCAGAGTGGTGGTTTTCTATTTGAAACAAACGAATGATTGTGTTTGTGCAGGAGCTGCTGAGAGAGATGGAAGCGATCCTGTCCTGTTGGAAGAGTCTTTTGTTTCCTCTGTCCTCAGACTCAGAGCTTCAGACTCAAGTCCAGAGACTCTACACGGCTCTGTTTGCCAAGGGAATCCATCTCAGCATGGACATGTTAAAAGTGTGTTTTTTTTTTTTTTTTGTTTTTTTTTTAAACACTTTCACACAAATTTGAACAATAATATTCTCACTGCACAGCATTGTATAATAATCTTTGTGTATGTAATCCCTTATTCATTCAGACAGTGACTTTCAGTATGAATGTCTTGAACATAAACAATACAGAATTGAAACAAAATCTGAACTGAGGAGCTTATTCTGTTTTCTGGTTGGATAATGAGCCTGAGAACGAAACACAACATTTAAACAGCATGTACAATGTTGCTTTTGTTTTTTTTAATAAACATTGTAGGTTGATTTTCAATACTCTACTGTTGGTCTTTGATGCGATGTTATTGGAGTTATTAATATTTTTGATCTTAAAAGGACTGTCACTGCTACAGTTGTAAAGTACTTCTCTTTTGAACTGCACCTGTGCAAAATGTTTAACCCTGTTTCTTATTTTCCAGGCCGTGCTCTCGGCTGCTCCTGTTCTGTCTGAAGAGGACCTGAGGACTTTTGCGTTTGGTGTTTGTCCACAGTGGGACTCAGACTGTGAGCAGCTCCTCCAGAACGCACTGTCTCAACTGTCAGAGCGAGAAGAACCCAGAGGACATGTGGTTCTTATTCTAGACAAGGTTGGACTAAATGTCTGCTACGTCCAACTCATGTTTTCATGGACCTAATGTCATGTCTTCAAATCATTTCTGACTGTGATTAAGTTTTTAAATGGTTATCGTATTTTTTCCTCCAGTACCTGCAGAAGTTGCCCTGGGAGTCCATCTCTGTCCTGAGGTCTCAGTCCGTAAGCCGGATGCCCTCCCTGCACTCTCTGATCGGACTGTGCATCGACAAAGAGGTGAATACTGATCCTAAGTACAGGATCATTTATACAAATACATTTAAATAAAAAAAAAATCAGATTCAACATTTGCCATGAAAAACCCAAAAGGTAAAGTCACAAAGCGCAATGTAATCCTCTTTTCTTTTTTTTTGTTCTTTTTTAAAGATCCTCCCGCAGTCCGTTTTGAAGCACGGCGTCGACACAAAGAAAGTGTTTTATGTCCTGGACCCAGATGGAAATTTGGAAAACTCAAAGGAGAGATTTAAAGAGTGCTTCAGCAGGTAAGTCCTTATGTCATGTAAATACTAACTTGTCATTATTTGGTCTTCAATTGCAAACATTTCTTTTTCTCCTGCAGTAAATCGCACTGGGAGGGTGTGTGTGGACAGGCTCCTGATTCTGCTAAACTGATGGAGGCAGTTTCATCCAAGGATCTCTATATGTGAGTTTAGAATTTCCTTCTTAAAAACTCAGAATATCTCATTTCAGTTTAGTTTTCAGTGATAATTTAATCATCTGAGTGTATTTCAGGTGAAAAAGATAGTTATATTAAAACTAAATCATCATTTGTAATTATGAAGCAGTTTTAAGATTCACATATAAAACCACTGAAATCTGAAGTATCTGTTCTAAACCATGTGAAAAGCCAAAACAAAAGATATTTGTTTTTATGTATTGTTTATTTAATTCATAAAGTATAAAAAGACATTAACAGTGGCACAACATTAAACATACAAGAAATGAATGAAAAGGAGCAGAAAGAAGAGCGGTCTTCTGTTATCTGCCCCCTTTTCCAGAGAATACATTCACACTGATGGTTACTTTTAAACATTTCAAATCAGTATATTTCATTTCAGTCACATATGAATCAATTGCAAACAGAAATCTTCACTTTTATTCACAACAGCTTAGTTTTCTTTTTCATACTTGAGTAAAATCCAGTTCAATGTGTATTTTTTAAATGTCATTATTGTACTTGATCCTTTGATATCTTTGTCAAGACAATTCCATATTTTTTTTAAAACATGTCTGTTGTGGCAAAAATTATATATCTCTTGAAGATTAATGAATCCATTTGCAAAGGCTGATGAGTTTATGAAATATAGACCAAGGTTTATTCTTGTTACAGCAGATATGGACAGGGCCTAGGCCTGCCCTGGCCAGAGCCCAACAGCCTCTCTCCACCAGCAGTATGTCCCTACCACATCTTGTCCCATCTTCCAACTATCCCCCAGTATCTGCTCCGTATTTGCCCAGAATCTGCCCAAGTCTCTCCCAGAGCATTTGAGCTCTGAGTATTTATACAGAAATACAAGTTACATACATATCAAAGCAGAGTGACTTTGGTTTCAGAGGCTGGTGCTAAATGAACATAGTTGGGACAACAAAAGGCTTCCTGAAGGAGGAGACAGTTGTGTCTGATGAACCTTTACACATGTTAATGACTGGTCTGGGTTTCACCTAGAAATCACATTCATTTACACAGACAGACTGAAAGAAATCTTTCCACAATCTAAATTTCTATCACGTCTGTTCCTTTTATATTATATTGGCTTGTTCTCATTTCAAACAGTCTTTAGATATTTACAGGTAGTACATTGCACTTTGCTTTTATACTTTGAGAAGACTTAAGTCAATAATGTCATACATTTTCAACACTTAAATTTACACAAATACAATACTGGTTTCCATGACTCTATATTGACTGTTGGAGATAATTCTCAAAGTCCTTTGTCTGTCAAATAAATAATAGCTGTAGGTGAGTTTTACATGTTGACACCCAAATGTCCATTTTTAATACTAATTGTAGTGTCAAAGCACTGTACATCCCATTATTCAATTACTCCTCTGAGCCTAGTAAAGGATCATTCCAGATTGAAATCCACAGTGAAATGTTTGTTCTCTGTCACAGTTACGTGGGTCATGGTGCAGGCGCGCGCTTCTTGGACAGTCAGGCTGTTCTGAAGCAGCAGATGAGAGCGGCGTCTCTGCTCTTCGGCTGCTCCAGCGCCGCTCTGGCTGTGAGAGGAGAACAGGAGGGGCAGGGCATCCTCCTCTACTACCTCATCGCAGGATGGTGAGTTCACATGTGGCCCAAATGTGTGTCGTTATTCACCGTTATTGACTCCAGGATCAGTCAGATCCTTTCATTCATTTCACTTTCATTCATCTTGACTGCCATTCCTGTAGTAAGTGACCCGCCTTATGAACACTTTCTGAATGATAAAGGAAAGTGAGATAAAAGTTCATTTTGTTTTGTTGTATGTAAAATGTTTTTCATTGTCTAAAAAGCTTTCCATAGTATTATTACTGCACATTTAGGTTTATTTTTTTAGACTGTAGATTGGCTTGAAGTCCCTTTATTTTCACCTCTGAAATTCTCAGTTCTTCATTTTTAGTTGATTATATTGTGACCTGCCTGTATATTCATAAATATCAGTTAAGCTATTAACCTTTACATCCCTAAATAGCAAATCACCACAACTTTGTAGATTGAGCAAAAAAATTTACCAAATCAAAACTATTCAACATATTAATCCACTGTAATCTTGGATTTTAGTCTATTTGAACTCAAATTAAAAGCACTGTACTTGATATTTACGGTCTTGAGAATGTACCGGTATATTTTTGTATTCATCCTAATTATTTAAGTGTGTCACACCATTGTCAGAGACCAAAGTGGAGTTCTGACATCACTGTAATGCTGAGAACTCCTAGCTTTACTTTCTGGTTCACAGAGGATAAAAAAAACTGTTAGAATTAGACGCAGACAGGCTGCCTTTACATTCAATCTGTACTGGAACAAGACAAATTAGACTTTATTTCAGCACCTTTAAAGACACTGTAGAGACACTTTGCATGTTAGCTGCACACTTCCTGATTTACAGACACTAAAAAGCTTCATAATTAATTATACTGACTGCTCACAGAGGTCACATTTTGACACAGAGCTGCTTTTACAACTGAGACACGAGTTTTACTTTATAACATGAACAAACACCTGGTGCAGCTCTTTTAATTAATCCCTTTTATTTTCTCAATTTATTGTAACCAAGACTAGAAAATAAAGTAGCTCCATGAATGTTTTTATCTTTCACATCTCTGTTTTAGCCCCTTTGTTTTGGGAAACCTGTGGGACGTGACAGATCGAGACATAGACCGGTTCACCAAGGCCCTCCTGGAGTCCTGGTTGAGTTCTGGATCTGGGGCCCCGATACTGGACTTTATGGGTCCGGCTCGACAGGCCACTCTCCTCAAACACCTGATCGGCGCCGCCCCGGTGGTCTACGGACTTCCCATCCACCTGCTTTGAAAGAAAACAAATGGGTTGTGTTCATGAGACATCACAATATTCTTAAATGCCACTCGTTTAACATTAAACTGGAGGACAGCTCAGATTCTTTGGTGGAGTTTGCTGTGTAACTGTCAGATTGCAGATTTGTTGACCTGGTTTATGGTTCATATCTCTGGAATTACTGGGCTTATCCATATCCAAACAAAAACTGGCACGAAGTTCAACGACTTTTGTCAGCATATATAAATTATAGTGAAATCATCTGTTCATAATAGCTTAAAAAAGTGATACAGTCAGTGCCAATTATGACTGTTGTTACTTGAATAGACTTAAACTAAGTTAGAAATATTTGGCAAGTTTGTAGAGAAATAAATGAGGAAGATTTTCTATTTTCTTGGATCTTAAGTTATACAGGCCCCTACCTTCCATTTGAATTTCAGTCGTGAACACAGCCTAGAGCAAGGGTATAAATGAAGCGGCACATTTCTCAACTAATGTAAATTATATATGCATTTTACATTTTTGCTTAAATTGCAAAATGGTCTAAATATTTTAAATGATGTTTTTATTTTGCAGTGTAAATGAACTGATTTATTTTTAATACAAGATTTTATGTGTTTTTATGATGGTCTGTCTATTAAACTTTTAATAAATGTCTGTAATCTGTCTGTTCTTCTCCCTCACCAAATGGCACTTACATCACAAACACACATGCTGTTAATATTGAACTTTTTCTCATAAAAGGCTCACCTGTTTGTCTTTGTGGAGACATTATTGCTTTGCCTGGGGTGTTTTGCAGTTTGGTAAATTGTATCTTATCAGTCATGTATTATTACATCTTATCTTTCATCTGCTGTCAATACAATAATGTGACTTTCTCTAAATAAATGGGATGAGAACTAGACGGGCAGATCCACAAGGACAATTATTTGGACTCCGTAGCTCACATATTACAATAACAGAGTAAAAAACTGGTAATAAACTTCTAAATAAGTAGCAATAAAAAATAGTAAGAGGACTGGTACCAATAAGACATAAATTATATAAATGTATGGACAGTAAGTAAAAAATATTGTAATATAAATATCACTGTTGTATACAAGAGGTCATAAGGAAACAGAGTCCTAAAATGGCTGCTCTAAAAGGGACTATTTATCACTATTTTGAAATGAGAGGTTTATATTTGGTTTACAGAGGATTTATCAGTTCATGTTGTAAAGGAGAACCATAGATCCATGAGGAAAACCTGTGCAAATGTGATTCCTATGTGATCTCAAATATCACCACAAGAGGGCGCCATTTCCTGTGACGCACTCACCCGGAAGCTGTAGTTCGGGTTCATCCGCCTCACGCTTTCACCACCAACATGGCTGTGAATCTGACAGACCTTTCTCTGCCTCAGTTAGAGAGTTTAAAAACCCAATTGGACCAGGTAACGATACTGCGTTTCTATTTTCACTGCACTAATACAAAAGATGTGCACAGAAAGTCGATCAGATAAACGCGAGCGGTGAACTTTGCGATGCCACTTTAGCTCCTTGTGTTAGCATGTGTGGGCTGTGTCCATCCTGATCTGCTCCACTTCACCTGAACAAGAATCCCATTTAAAACACCAAATATCAAATAAAGACGCTGATCTTTAACAGATAATTACATTAAGAAGGGTAACAAGTTCTTATGGATTAGTTTACAAAGTATAACATGAATATTGCATTACATGGGCTAAGTTAATTGGATCAGTAATTTATATTCTTTACTCATGTATTTATTTTATGTGTTTGCTTCTGTTTTATATTTTCTTCTATGTTTGCCCTTTGGGTTCACTACGTTTATAAATATAAAATGTCTTGTTTGTTGGTTGGTTTTATTTTACATACATATTTTATATTTTATATTCATTTCTCTTCTCTTTTTTTAAAATTCAAACATACAAGGTGTCCCAAAAAATTTGACATCATTTTGAAGGCCACTCATTTTGGCAATTTTTGTTGAAATAACCTCAAACTGGTCAAATTTTATATGTAATTAAAGGCAGTGGTAGACCATCATCAACATCAGAAGAAAAGGTCGTGCAAGTTTGTGAAAAACTCTTCGCTACAAAAAGTCTGTAAGGAGAACAAGTTTGAAAACCCAGATTCCTCGAATGACCGTTTCTCGTACCAGATTCTTTAGTCCTGCATAAACCGATCTTTCCTCTTTACATTTTTGGTGCCAAGTCCAAATTTGTTGCCAGTTGTGAAGTTTTGTATTGAAGCTGCACAGTCTTGGGTGAGTGTTTGTGAGCAGATTCCAAGACACAAAATTAGTTCTCTTTGGGAGGGAATAACTGAGAATCTTGATCTGTTTCTTTACATTTTGTGAAAATTTGAAGTTATTTCAACAAGAATTACCAAAATTATTGGCTGGCGAAATTATGTCAAATTTTTTGGGACACCCTGTACATTGTTGTTGTTTAAATTAAGAGTAATTTGTTTGTTTTTATGTATTACTTTGCAAATTATAACATTAATATTGCATTGCTATATAATTATGAAGTCCTTTGTTTTTACTGTACGGTAGTATTTTTTTAATGCAATTATCTATTATTAATTATTATTTATGGGGTTATATTTTACTACTTTTTGACCTGCTTGTCTTGTACTGTTCATATCATTTACAAATAAAATATCTATGGATTTTCATTTATTTAGTTTTTATTAAATTTTAAACCCTGTCTAATGTTATAATGATGCTTTTTTCAGGAGACAGAGTTTCTGACCTCCTCCATTGGGCAGCTCAAAGTGGTACAGACAAAGTTTGTGGAGGCAAAGGACAGTCTCAATGTCCTGAACCAAAACAATAAAGGTGAGAAATACTACGTTCATCAAAAGGCACTTTAGTTCCCCTGTAATTATTTTTTATTCTTTGTTCTGTTTGTAGGAAAGGAGTTGCTCGTTCCTCTCACCAGTTCTGTATCCTTGAAATGCCTCACTCATTCACCCCGACTTCTGACACTGACTGTACTAACAAAAATCTAAACAAACATTTAGCTCCAGTGATAGTTACAAGGCTCTGATGTAATCTTCGTCAAATGTAAACAAACAGACACATTGATTATTTTACAGGAATGTTGGGCTACTCAGTTGTGATTACAGTTTCTGCTCCAATCAATGAAAAATTCAGATTAACACGAGAGGTGTCCAATGCTTCGCTGGGGCATACAAAATCTAGAAAATGGCAGCACATGTGTTAAGTTAAATTCAAATCTTAGCACAAGGTGGCCTTTACTTACCGTATTTTTCGGACTGTAAGTTGCACTTTTTTCATGGTTTGGGTGGTTCTTGCGACATATATATTAAAATATATAATTTCACATGTTTGTTATTTTCACAGTGACGACTGCGAGAGAGTCTAGCCTTGTTTGCCATGTGTGTCTACTACTATTACTCCTGTACCACTGAAAATGTTAAATTTAAACATCAAATTATGAAGACAACTGAGAAAGACTGAACATAAATGCCCCCCAAAAGAAAATCATATTTTGCAGATTACAAGCTGCGAGTTGTGAAATCTGCAGCTGAACACGGTAATCGAGCAGCAGAAAGCAAGCTTGGAGTGAGAGAGAAGCTTGTGAGAGGCTGACAAAAAACAGAGGATACTCTGTAACTGCAATGAAGAAAACAAAAAAAGCTAAATGTGGGCTAAAATATAGATGGCCACAGCTAGAGAAACACCTTCACAAATGGGTGCTTGAATAACATGCTGCCAGGAGAGGCTTGTCAACGGTGTAGTTACGTCTCCATGCCCAGGTAGTTGCCAAGGTGATGAATACAAATGACTTTGCGGGAGGACCTTCCTGGTGTTACCGCTTCATACAACGCAACCGCCTCTATCAGAGCACGGACAACGATGTCCTAAAAACTTCCAGCCATTTTATAAAAAAATAACCCCCCCCCAAAAATTGTAGTCCAGTGTGACTTGTATGTTTTTTTCTTGTTCATTTGCATTTTTTTGCTGGTGCGACTTTATAGTCCGGAAAAAACGGTAGTAATGTAAAAATGAACCATGTACAAACCTTGAGGCACACTAACAGAATCTATTAAGTCCTTTATTGCCTAATGACGGACGTGGTCTTTGTCAGGGCAGGAGAATAAAATAGGGCACACAAGCGTCAATAAATACATGAAAATGAGTATAAATGAGATCATGTGAGTAAATACAGCTGGAGGATTGAACAATAAATCCAATATTACCGCAGTTTATGAGTTATGACTCATTTATTATTTATTATCTTGACTCTTTCTTAAGATGTACGTTCCTGGAAGATTGAATGACGTTGAACATGTTTTAATCGATGTTGGCACCGGGTACTATGTTGAAAAAGTAAGTCGTCCTCTTTATAAAAATGCATTCCCTTTGTCTCTCTGCTTAATATAAAACTGTGCCTTGTACCTTGTGCCTTCAGAATGTGGAAGACGGCAAGGCTTTCTTCAAGCGGAAAGTAGATTTTCTTACAAAGCAGATAGAGAAGATTCAGCCAGCCCTACAAGAGAAACACGCAATGAAACAAGGCAAGATATATGCTCTTTATTCTATGGGTGGTTTTGTTTGTTATTTTTGCTTTAGACTTATATATTTGTTATTAAGCTGTAGCTGCTCTTTCGCATTTTAGATGTGTTTTGAGCTTTTAGAGAAGAATCTACCTTTGCCACTCCAAAGTTCCAAAGGTTGTGATGTCATCTGCATAACCTCTGTAGAAAGTTAGGAAATCAGTCAATCACATTGGCTGTGTTGGAGATACGCTGAATGATAATACTGACTTTGTTGATTATATTTAAACATATTGGAAAAAGCTACAAAAAGAAGTATCAAGTACCCTGTGTATTTGCTTTGTTTTCTATGTAGTATTTCATGCGCAGTAGATTGTGTTCATGTTCTTTTGAGGATGTCATGATCTCAGATGGTGGGCAAGGGCCTTTTCTTTTTATTTTGAATGAAATATCCAAAATAGAAATTTGAAAAACTTTAAACCATTATCATTCTTTGTTCATAAACTTGACATATGAATTAATCTTATGGCTTTCAACTGACAGCAGTCAATTCACTTGTGCTGAATAATGGTACGATTGTGAAAAAAGGCAGAGTAGGCAGAGTAATTGCAGAGATATGAACCATAAACCAGGTCACCACATGTGCAATCTGAATGTTACACAACAAAATCCACCTGAGAATTCTGACCTACCCTCCAGCTCTCTTTAAACTACCGTATTTTCCGGGCTATTAGACGCACTCTTAAGCCTCCAACCCCGTCAAAAAACAACCGCGCGCCCCGCAATCCAGAGCGCCCCATACAAGAATCCAGTCGGGTGTCCCATCATGACTTCAGCCTTCATGACTACAAAGCCGCAGAACACGCAAACACACACCGAGCAGACAGCGACCCCACAGCGAAACACACAGGCAGACACACTCATCACTCCACGCCGACGAGGAACGGAACAGAGGAACGAACCAAAAAAGCGAGTGCAATGTGCCACTTCTAGACAGAACTGAACAACTGAGTCACTGCGAACACGACAACAATCCAGCGGTCCCAGACAGCACCCTCCCTACACGCCACAACTGAACAAAGCCCAGAGTCACCGTGAATGCGCCAAACAAAGTCCCACTAACCCATCCAACTGTTGTGTTTCCTTTAAAGTCCGGTGCAGTTAATTGTGAAAAAAGTTCGAAAATAGACCATTTAATGACAGTGCATCCTATAATCCAGAGCGCCTAATAGCCCGGAAAATACAGTACTTGTTAAGTGATGATGTCGATTCTGAGTCCAACATGAAACTTCACAGCTGATTTCTAGTTTTGTTTTTGGTTTCAATAAGATTCCTGCATTGTCATTCTTGATTCAATTTTATGAGTATATCATTTTCGGTTGAATACGTGCCTCTCCTCCAATGCACCAGAGTTTTTGTTCCTTATTCATCAAACAATAAAGAATTACCTTTTCAACAGCGTATGTTTAACCACAAACCTGGAAGTGACGTCACACTTAACTACTCTAATGTCACTTCTAGGTCCATCATCAGATTGTAAACAATGAACGTTTATAATTTCTAGCGAGTGTTTTGATGAATAAGGAACAAAAACAAAGCTAGGAATCACATGTGACATCCCCAGTTGGACCCAGAAGCATTACGTAACAACTCTACAGGGATCCCGCAGTGCCGTGATGTCATGATGGTGTAGTATCTTTGTCGTCTAATTATGTTTTCTTCTTTTTAAACCTTTTCAGCTGTAATGGAAGTAATGAGCATGAAGATCCAGCAACTCCAACAGAGCCAAGCAGCACAAGTCAAGGCGTAATACGGGCACGGATAGCTGTTGAATTAGTGTGCAACTTTCTGTTTACTTTACTTCACATGAGGTCATCAAGGCTCCGTTCACATTTGCACACAGTTATGTTTGGATACTTCAAATACACAAAGCTAAATGTAGACAAAAAGACTAATACTGAATCGGGGAAAAAAAACATAAATTAATTTATCTACACAAATGTTATTACAAAATTATAGGACAAAAAAGTGCCCAAACATAACACGAACACAACACATCTGAATTGGGACTAAACCCGGAACAAAACCTGAACTAGACCAGGATTAAAACGAGTCTACAACCAGAACAAATGTGAATGTACCCTAGCGTTGCATTTCAGAAGCAAACAATGAATGATTATTTATGTTCTCTTGCCACAATAAATGGATTAATACAAGTTTTGAGCTTTTATTGTGAAGGATAACAAAGGGGATAAGATAAAGACATGTAACTTTTCTGGTGTCTGGCAAAGCATTCTCTACTTGCTTGTTTTCATGAAATGTTTTACAGTATAGCATTAATCTTATCTTGCATTTATTCAAATACAGGACTTTTAACTGCTCAAAAATACATGGTGAGGTGGTTTGCCTCTCCACAGACCTAACCTTGGGCCTGCATGCCTCCATAAAAAGTTTAGAAGAGTTAAAAATAAATGGGGAGTTGAGCCATTTGACGGTAGTGTTTGAAATATACTCTGTCATGAAAAACTTTGGCTAATTTATTGCCTATATACAAATGTATGTTTTATGTGGGGGTGTGTGCAAATATATAACCCAGTTTAATTTTGATTTCTAACATTGCCTGGAGTAATGCAGTGGTAGTAAATGAAAAGAGATCATTTCTTTACAAAATCTACAATAACAGATTACTGCTTTGTGCGGTACATCTGTTCTAAAGCCTTTAAATGTTAAATATGTAAGAAAGATATTTTACTACAACCCTACTTTATCAGAAAATAGAAGTCAAAGTGGCCCTTAATGGACTGGGTATTTAAAAAATGATGTAACTTTTAGGATTTTAGCTGACTAATATTGATCTTCTCTCTAGAAAAATACCCACTTAGCTGCAGTTCTGTGTTCAAAATGCATTATTGATAACAGAGGTCAGTGCCCAAGGGTAAAGGTCTTGGATGACTGACTATAAAGGGAAGGGGAGTGCACCAACTTGGGAAAAAAAAAAAAAAGTTCACAAAATGACGCTATACCTCATTTACTCAAATTTTACTCGATTTTTACTGCAGTAACTTTTGGATTTCTATACCCCTGTTGCTGGTAATAGGTTTGCTGATAAGATAAGCATTAGTAGCTGTTAGAAAAAGTGTGCCTAATAAAATGGACGTGCGTAAAAGGACATTTAAATACCTGTTCATGCGTTTAGTTGGGTAATGTTGTGCTATTTTTCAGTTTTGAATCGTTTTATGTCAATTGCAGGCACTAGAAATGTATTTTTATCTTTTTAATCTATATATAGTCGTGCTAGTGCTTGTTGTGGGGGAGGTCGCTGTTACTACGTTGCGTCGTTGGATAAAGGCGGTCAGACGCACACACGGCGGCGCAGAGGACACGGCTTCTGTCACATGCTGCGCTAGCTAGGATCTTTACCGACTGGCTAAACAACTACTTAAAAACAAGAAATGCTTATTCAAATAGTCGCCATTTCGCTTGTATCGTGAGTACACCGTGATTGAAAGCGAGAGTTTGCGTAATTTCGTTGCTTGGTTCGACGATCTGCGGTGCGTTTTGGAGTTACCGAGGAGACGACATACGGTAGTGGGAAGGCTGACGTGACTTTGAAGATAACTCAAGATAAGGCTTAAAAACGACAAGCCTACGACTTTTTGGGAGTAATCGACAAGAAAAGAAGATAGTTCGGGTATCATGGTGAGTATTAAGGCCTCAAAATGCTTAATTACGCTCCGGCTAACGCACGCCAACAACCTGTTTGCGCCCTTCCTCGTGTTGGTACCGAGACTGGAACACGTTGTCCATGATGTAAACTTACATGAATGGAAGTTGCAATTTAAAACGAAGGACAACCGCGCGTAATGTCAAATAAAATCGAACTTTTAATCGACACATCTGGTAACTTGAGCCCCACTTCCTTAAATCTATCCAAGGTTAGCCAAAAAGCAATTCGGGGCGGTTTAAACTGGTCAAACGGCAAACTTCGGCAAGATAATGAAAAAGCGTGTTTGGTTACTAATTAACACGGCCCCGGGTGGAAATCTAAGAGACAATACCTGCGGATTTGGCTCGGTACATGTGATTGAGTGCATGAACAGTGTGGTGAATCATAATCTGTCTTCGTAAAGCTAGCGGTTACACAACTGCTGCTAAGTGGCTTAATATATTTACTGCAAGTCACTCCGCTGGGCTACTCTAATGGGAACCGTGTATTTGTGCGTATTCCGTAAATTCAATGTGGAATTACTGGAAATCGGTCTGTTTTTTTTAGTTTGTTTTATTTTTTGTTGCTTTAGCTCAGTTTCATCATCATGCCACACGTGAGCGCATGGTTCGGAGCATGGTGGACAGCCGTGCCATGTGCTTTGCCATTATAACACCATAGGAAGTCAGGTTTGCGTCGATATACTGGTTGCTACTGCACTGTCACCGCGGTTTAAATGCGTCTTTGAGCTACACATTGCTGCTAAATGCGTATTTTTAAAGCGTATTTGGGTTTAAAGGTGGACTGAAGCTCATAATAGCCTTGAAAGGATGACAGGTCAAAATGCGCTCTCGTTGGAGTTACGCACGTTGGAGGCGGGATTAATGCTGGTGCGGTACTTCCTCACTCGTGACCACAGAAGGCCAATCACAACTCTGCTTCGTGTTTGTGGGAGAAACGTGTTCAAGGCCTTTTTTGTGTTTGCAAAGTTGTCAAGAATAGATTTATTACTAATCCTGTCAAGTGTTTGTATAAGCAGCCGAAATGATGTCAAAGTTTACAGTTGGGTGGATGATTCAACACTTAAATTGCACCATGTAACGTTGGAGAGTCTGCTTATCTCCACGGATAAGTTTAATGCCATACTGTGGGACATTATAGGTTGCTTTTATCAAAATTACAGGTATAATATTGTTTAAAAACTACCTTTTTAAAAACATGTCGTTTTACTGTGAGCGACCCAGTTGTCCACAGATCTGACCTGTAACTTGGCCCAGTTATGGTACTTGCTTGTCTCCACGGCAATAGAAGCTACATGGGGATGTTATTGATTCAACGGTAATGGCAATAAATGGAGACAAACAAGTGGTGACCCCTCTAGCAGAAAACTTTCTTACAGTTCACTTTAGGTCAAGGTTAGGACATAATAATATGCAAAGGATCTCCTGGCAGGTTGGCTGTGGGACTGCAAAAATTAAAATAATCTGTTTTGGATTGTTCACTAAGGTGTTAATGTCAGGCTCAATTAAATGTTTTTAAAACCTGCAGATAGGTTTTTCTCATTCTCAGGGCTGAGTCTCATGTTTCAGCATGTAACCTAGCAACCCAACTAAGGGCTCATGTGAGGCTCATTCTGCTTTCTGATTGGATAATTGTCTCAAGTTTACAACATAACAAATTTATAACATATATAAATGAGCCATCACTTTTTTAAAGAATAAATCTGCATTAGAATTGTTGACAGTAAAAAGCTGTATTTGATTTAATGATGTTTACCTTGTATCTTGGGGCACAGATGGTTCAAGTTGCTGTAATTTAAAATGACAGTCCTTTTAACTTTCAAACCTTTATTTTGTCCAGGTCACGACTCAGGGCACCAGTCTGAACCCGAACGCCCAAGTGTGGCAGGAGGTCCCCGTCCTTCAGCCTGACTCTGTGGAGGTCACTGAGGACTCGGCCTGGATCGGCTCCTACCCTCCTCCCATCGACTTTGTTGAAGGTACAAACTCATTTGTCATATCTCATTTACCTATTAGTATTCTGTTTAACAATAAACAATATCCAAAAACACCAGCGCAACGGTGCTACTAATGGCTGTTTTGTTCCACATAGACATTTGCAAACTTGTCTGCCCAAAACTAGACAGGAAATAAAGGCCTGTACTTTATTTAGGTGTTTTACACTTGTTTTGGACTTTCAGTCAAATATTTGTCTTGATCTTACCACCACTCCTTTTTTGATAACCAGGAATACAGAGTTCATTCATTCATTGTATTTGAGCACTTTGGTTTCCCAGTATACAATAACAGGAAAAATAACTGGGCAATGCCCAATAGGCAGTAAAAAATCTTGGAGCTTACTTCCCTTCACATTTTACATTTGTGGTAATGGCTGTTTTATTGAAATAAACATGAGTAATAAAATATTTAAATGGAGGAAGTGTGAACAGAGCAATGGTGACTTTCCATGTGAAGTTTTTGATCAATAAAGACAACTTCACCTGAAAAGGTGGTCTAAAAAAAAAAAAAAGTGAGCAAGTTTTAGGAGGTTTGTTGAAGCAGTTAGTCCCCAGGCACAAGTTTTATAAAGGAACACACACCCTGCAGTACGTTCTGGTACTGAAGTATGTTTTCCTTTGTTTTTAGATTATTCGGAGTTTCCTTCTCCGGATGGAAAGGACTTCGGTTTGGTGTATCCTGACGGCTCAGACTACGGCTCTGATTATGACCCTGCTTGCCTCAGAGGTGATGGGGGGCACGTGCGACTACCCTGACCTGGGGTATCTGGTGTTTGAGCCTCAGTACAATGGGACAGTGGAGGAGGAGGTGATCACAGATAAAACTCTGTCTGAAGAAACCCTCAGGGAATCTCTGAAGAAACAGCTGGAGTTCTACTTCTCCAGGTACAATCATCATAGAAAATGGTCCATGTCTTTGCAGTTCTCTACCTAGTGCTCAAATGAAACGCATTTTACCTTGTAGTTTTAAAAACATGCAAAACAGAACGAGTTCATTTTAAACAGCTTGCAGTGGTCCAAAGTTACTCTTCACTTACCTTATGCATTCTGAGGATCCTAATTATTCACCACGATGAGTTTATAAGTGATTTTCTCAACTCTCAGAGACCAGAGTCGAGTATTTTTCTCAAATACATGGAAAAATCACGTACAACATGGGACCAAATACTGTTGGGTGTTCCAAAGGATTCTAATGGACATTTCCTGTGATTTTTTTATTTTTATTTTTTTTACATTTTTATCCAGTTCAAATGTTTTGACTTTACAACTTAAGTGTAATTCTGAGATGCAAACATGGCTCCAATTGTATATTTGGTGTAACGTCCATCTTGTCTATTGTTATTTGCCATATTTTGTAGGTGTTGAAATGATCTATCCAACAGTTAGAGCGAGTTATTGGTTTAGACTCTTAATCTCAATCTTAATTTATACTTTTGTTGTCCAACTATACAGAAAACTGCATTATAGCCTAGCCTTTAACTGTTTGTAATCTCCTGCAGGGAAAACCTGTCCAAGGACCTGTATCTAATTTCCCAAATGGACAGTGACCAGTTTGTGCCGATCTGGACCATCGCCTGCATGGAGGACATCAAATCTCTGACCTCAGACCTGGAGCTCATCGTTGACATTCTGAAAAGTAAGTGATGAACTACAGTCATTGTTCTTACCATACGCGCCGCGTCCCCCACCCTAAGTCTACAGTCAAGATTATGTACTAAGTCAATATTGCAATAGCTTCTTTAGCAATATACTGCAATTCTTAATTTGTGGTGACGAGCCCAACCCTATCTGCATCTCAAAGATAAGTTTAATAATGAAATCTTTTTGTTGCAGCATCTCCCTTGGTCCAGGTTGATGAGTCTGGTGAAAAAGTTCGACCCAACTACAGCCGCTGTATCATCATCCTGAGGGAGGTGCCAGAGACTACTCCAGTCGAGGTGAGCCCATTTCTAATCTTAAAATGCATATAACAGATTTTCAGATTTTTCTAATTCTGACTTTTTTTGGTGGTATAGTACCTGTGGTTAATATTTAATCATAGTTTTACATCAGTTAAGTGGAAGTACGTGGCAAAGAAGTTGGAAAAGATGTCTAAAAATACAGGAAGTAGCAGCGAGTTCTAAAATGGAACCCCTATCTCATCAACACGGAAAATTCCAAATCCAATCCCAAATTTAGATAAGCTACATAAAAGGAAGGCGTTTTTCTGGCAGTTTAAACCTTCATTCAACAAAATAAAGGTGTTGTCTGGTTTAACTGGTTTAATCATAACTATTGTGTAATTTTGTTAACATTATGGTCGCTAGGTAATGTAAATATGTAAATACCTACGTATATTGTATTTGTTGCTCATGTCCAACCAGGAAGTAAAATGCTTAACTTCACTAAAATCAAAAGACTAAATGTATAATTATGTCAAGTATTGTTTTACAGTGAAATGGCAGGTTACACTACGCTTTTCACCAGGAGTCTAATCCCTGTCATTTTGGATTGTTAAAATGACGTTATCCTTCTGTGTGTGTTTATTCTCGCAGGAAGTCGAAGCACTTTTTAACAATGAAAACTGCCCGAAGGCGTTGAGTGCTGAGTTTGCACACAACAGCAACTGGTACATAACCTTTCAGTCTGACAATGACGCACTTCAGGTAAATGTGACTTTTATTTTTTTAAACTTTTGTCACTGGAGCAATTAACGTATGTGATGTATTATTGCTGCTGTTTAGGCTTTGAAATACCTGAGGGAAGAAGTCAAAGTCTTTCAAGGGAAACCAATTATGGTAAGTTCATTTGTTCATGATGGACTTTTTGATGCAGAATCATTGGTGTCACGCTCTTTAATACAGCACTGACTCTCTAAATGTTCACAGCTAGTACAATCAGTAACTGTTGATTTTTACTGTACACCCTTGAAATACATGTAAAAACATTTAACCCAAGCCACAAACCCTAAAGGGGCATAAGTTTTTTTGGTGGAGGGTTCCACAAAGCAGCAATAAAAAGGCCTGTATTTAAATGAAAGTTGGGTTTAGGAAAGTTTTTATCATGCTGTGAAACATTCCAGGGAGAACAATGACATTTTCAGGAGGCGAGCCACATAATTTGCATAGAGTACCTTTAACCATTATGTTGTTAAATTCTAACTGGTGCCGTTGAGTAAAGTGTGACCAGGCAATAGGGCCGCAGTCAAATCCAAATTGCAATTTAAATGGACACGATTAGCAAATTGCATCAGCTGCAGTTTTGAAGTACCATCATTTCTTCCACAGATGACAAAAGATCCTGCATAAACACGAACTGTAAACAAAACCCAGACTAAACAAATGCAAACGAAGTAATGAACTTAAACTTTCAGTCACAATTCCACTAGACTGTAAACCCCCGGTGATGATCAGTATCGCGCTTGGAAGGACCCAGATGCACTGTTTCTGGCTGAGGGGAGCTTTGTTTTCTAAACTCTCTCCTCCTCTCTCCTTCCTCCTCCATCCTAACTTCGGCTTTTCCTCATCTTCCTCTCCTCCCCTCTCCCTCTCCACTCCTCCTCCTCCCCTCTCTAGTCGGTACATTGTTTTATGGCCTAATGACCGTGAGATTATGAGATCTGAGGGGACAAGGGTACAAGTGGTTTTCATGATGCTCACACGTTATAAAGTTGGACAAGTGGAAAGTAAAAGATCTGGAGGTGGCACGTCACCTGTATGATTCCTTGGAAATAGAAAGTTCAACCATACTTGGGAACATTCCATGATTCCAAGTGCAAACATTTCCAAGTTTGCCATAATGTGGTACTGTGTTGCAGCCAAATGAACAACATTTTCTTGGAACCAAGCAGAAGGGGCCCAACTCTCCGGGTCCCCTTTAGAAATTGAGATGATAAACTCTTGAGTATAGAAATACAAAGTTTGTGGAGATGCAAGCCCGTTCACTGTAAAGACTCATGCGTTTCAGTGCTACAAAATGAGAAAAGGTGTTTTGTGGCTAACAAGGTGCATACTGTGGCTTTAAGTGGGGTGTTTACCTTTACACCTTTCACAGCTCTACAGGGCCCTCTCACCAGGTATTGTCTCTGTCTTTTCAGGCTCGTATCAAAGCGATCAACACGTTTTTCGGTAAAAGTGGATTTCACAGCGTCGACTCGAGCGTGTTCTCTCAGCCCCCTCCTCAGACCCAGACCCCTCAGCCTTTCGGGAGTCCCGTGTTCATGGACATGCAGCAGGTGTACAGCCCACAGCAGCAGTACCCCGTCTATCCTGTGGTGTCTCCCTCCTGGAGCCCCACACCTGTGCCCTACTTTGAGACTCCTCTGGTGAGAATGATTTTACTTTTAGACATTTCAGGCTTAAAACATCCAACTCATCTGGAAATAATTTGGTAGCTGCTTTCATTGTCATTGTTGGGGTTGCATTATTTTGCCAGGGGGTGCTGATCTGTAACCTGACTCACACCAGACTGATCTATGCGTCCCCCTGAATTGAGTTCTTCACATTATCAATCTAGAACGGTTCTACATGTAACATTATGACAACTCGTTGATGACTAGTTAAATTTTGGCAGCTAAATTTTTCTTTCTCAGATTCTCCATTGAAATGAATGGGTTTCCTGCTTAACCGATAGTGCCACCACAATCAAAGTTTGGTTGTGTTGCATTTGGAAGCAAAAGTGGGCGGGGCGGCATAAGGTCAATGAGGACAATAAAGGAGACATATTATGCAAAATCTACTTTTATTGTCTTTTAATGGTGTTCTCTTATCATTGGCTTACACAAAGTTGCATTGGTTTCATTCATGGTTGAGTACTCGCTTGTACTCCAGGTCATACATGTTGGTCCTACTTGCATTTTGGCCAGTTGAATGCATGAATATCCTTTTGTAATCCTCCCTAATCTATATTTTTTCATTATTAGGGCCAGTGTAAGTGGTATAATCTTTTAAAGTGACATTGACAATTAACTTATCCTTTTTGTTTTGTTGTTTTGTTTAGGCCCCTTTCCAAAATGGCGGCTACATGAATGGATACAGAAGCTCAGGAAACTATAAGGGAAACGCGCTGTCTGTGAATGGCCACCGCCCAAGAAGCAGGTACGGCTTTATTAAACCTTTATTTACACATCGTATTGGGTAATACTGTAATATGGGTATTTAAATTCTTCTGCCATTATATTGCGTATTGTAGTTAGTTTATCCACATGTTTGTTTTTCTTTGGGTTGGTCCCAGTTTAGAACTACTGTAGCAAATGTTGTCCTACTTTAGACCTGGTTTGGATCTGCTGGTTCTGATGAAAACAAACATTTACTTTGGCGGTCTTGGAGTAGCGTTTTTCTGATGGGGAGGGGGGAGCAAACTTATTTGTTTCTGACCATAAATCATATAGACTTTGACTATTTTTTGTGTGTGAAATGGCCCCGACTCAAATTTCTCCCTCAGAGTCTTGCATCTGCTCCAAACACATGATTTTACTGACAGAGGATTGGCTGTAGACCTCTCCATTCTAGACCCAAGATGAACATTGGCTTTTGAAATTATGTATTGAATCACTTCAGATTTAAGTCATGGTCTTATGGTCTGGTAAAGGGCTGTACAGTTAAAGCTACACTATGCAACTTTCTGGAGCAGGCCCTCCTCCAAAGCGAGTCAGGTTTATGGAGATGCAAGAGTAAAGACACACGTTTGTTTGTTTGTATTTTTTTGCTGAAATTTTCAGTGTAATAAATGCAATCAAAATGAAACATCAAAAACCTGCTTTTATTTTAGTCTATTTCATGGGTTGAAAAATTGAACTCCTCTTTATGCATTGTAGTGTTATCACGATATAAAATGTTCAATGTTATATCACTAAAATTAAATTCAGTTGTTTGGGGTTTTTTTCTCTTTTCTTTCAGTAGTGATACTTGTTGAAATGAGTATCTAGTTTGGATACTAGTTTTAGTATCTGACTATCTGTCTATATAACTCTAACACTCTGATAGTTCACACTGGGTAGTCCTGTGTTTGTGACCGTGTTGTTGGTTTTTTTGCGGTGGCAGAAACCAGGGCTACGCGGGGTCCAGTTGCCTTGTGGATGTCGCTCCTCAGGCTCAAATATCCGGAGCTCCCATCCGACCCCCCACAGACGCCCTGTCGCCGACCTCGTTCAACCCCAAGGACAGCTCTCTACTACCCCCTGTGCACAATGGAGACGGGCGCCCCAGGTAAACACGCCTCTGCTCTTGGGCTAGGTTCAAATAACACTGCAACATTCTAAGGAGCCCATAATTTCAAGAGCATATGACAGGTTTTCTTGCTTTTCTAGTTATTTCTTTGTTTGGTGGGATAGTACCTGTGGTAAATATGCATCATAGTTTTAGATCAGTTTAAGTGGCAGATTGTGGAAAAAGGTAAAAAATTGAAGGAACTAATGCAGAGCAGACCTGTAATCAACTAAAGATATGTCCTGCAACTTGATATGAATGTATGCAAGAATAGAGTTTTCATCGTAATTTATATTTTACCATTTTCCTAGTTTGTGAATTTTGTTGATTGACGATGACAAAACATTTTCTGATTCTGAAAAAAAAAAAAACTACAGCATTAGAACATAGCTGAAAAGATAAATAAACATTAATAGCAACTTAAAATTGTGTGTTATTAGAAAATAAAAAATACATATTGTCTGTGTATGTTTCCAATTTGTGTACAACTATGCTGAATGTTTTTACTGTATATTTTGTAATTTCCTAAACTGAACCATATTTTCTTGGGTTGCAGGAGACCGAACCACAGAGGAATGAGGAGGAAAAGAGAAGATGAGTCAAACACTGTAAGCTCGCTTTGTAAAACCATAATAAAATGTAACCTGAAGTCTAGGTTTAATCATTTACTTAACCTCTGCTCTACTGTCATCACAGAAACCACTTCCCACAGCTGAGGTCAAACCGCCCCCTCCGAACTTTGACCTGGCTGCCTGCAACTTCCCACCTCTTCCAGGAAGCATGGTGACGGCCAAAGAGGGAACGGCTCTGGACGTGTGCATGGCAGACGTGGTGCGCGGCCTCAAAGTGTCCGAAAATAAGGTAATGATGTTGACAGTATGTTTTAAGTGCTACACAGTGGAGAAAATAAAATGCATTATCTGTTATTGACTATTTGACTAAACTTTGATCTTAATAGCGCTGCAACAATTACCAATTTAATTTAACAAAAAAATGGCATGCGTTATTTGTTGTTTGACCTTTTGTGTTGAATTTGTAATGTTGTTTGCTCTGGAATGGCTTTTATTTGACATTGTAGGCCTAATTATTACGTTGTAGAATTCACAGTGCTAGGCCTGAATGATTAGTGAAAAATCTCAAATTACTCTTTTTCCTGACAAGCAATGCAATCACATGTGAGATTTAAAATGGGAACTTGGAAGAGAAATTGATAATTAAAACAGAAGTGTCCAGAAAACTTAACAAAGAGACTGAAATATGAACTGACAAACTAATACAAGAATCACATTTCAGAAGATTTTTGTACAGATCTAAAGGTTAGCGGATTTTCATGCAGAATAAAACGGACAAAGTAAATTGTGGCTCTTCAAAAACTGCAGCTTTTAGTTTTGCTAATTTGGTTAATTCAGATTCAATAATGATTAATTGTGCAATTTTATCCTGTGCTGTCTGTTTGGGCCCAGATAATCCAAATCATATCCAAGTCAAAACTCCAAATTTACCACCCAGTGATCTCCTTTTTGAAACTAATTTAAAGGGGCTCTGTGGAACTTTTCTGGTGGAATGTATGCAGCCTGCTTGGAGAAGTTATTGTCCTGGATTGTTCCAACAGAATGGCATTAAACTTATCTACATGGAGACGACCTGACGGCGCCACCAGGACCAAGTTAGAATGCCTGCTTTTGTCACGAAATATTTGAGCAGTGATTAAATAAGTGCTTGATAAGTATAATGCCATACTGTGGAGCATTCCAGGCAAAGCACCTACCTCTCCATATGGATGTTTTTCGGTCTATTGATTTAGCTGACAGTCCTGGTTTTAGCCTTGATTCATTCCTGGGGAGAATGTCCTCCTTTTTTGGTTCTGGTTCAGGTCTTGTGCAGGTCTAATTCAGCCAGACAAGAGTATTTTTGTAGCAGTTTTATGTTAGCAGTTATACAAATTTCTAATAGCTGTATTTGTTGTTCTCTCTTCTTGCAGAATGGCAGCCAGGAAACTAAAGAGTCTAAACCTGCAGATCAACCAGATGACATCCAGAGCAAACCTGAGGCTGCTTTAAATCCAGTTCCAGTAACACCAGAAGTAGAGCCAGCAACCTCGTGGTAAATATACACATTTATTAACAAGCATTAATTAAACTACATGGATAGAAAATAATTGCGTCTTTTCATTCTAGTAGCGTTTCTGAGTCAAATAAAGATGAAATTGAAGTGGACTCACCAGTGTCAAGTGGAGATTCGTCGTTAGAGACTCCAGTTTCAGAAGAGCCTCCAACCACCACCAGCCGATCAGCATCCACTGTGTCTGCCCCATCCGCCCCTTCTCCCACCTCTGAACCAGTAAGGATATTTATGTCTTTATTTATCTTTGAAAAGCTTTATATGGTGTCTTATCACATAAATATTAATTTGGTTTGTTTATTTGGCACTTGAACTTGGTACATTTTTCATTAAAGATTTGGACATGTTATGAAATAATATCCATTCTGTTGTTCTGATCTAAATGCCTCAGAACACTAAGCTGAGTTGTGAGTTGCCTTTGTGTATGCTTTAGTCATGTTTTTCTGTTGTTAGGTTTGGCTGCTTTATTTGCCATTTGTAATTTAAAACTCCCCGGAAAGCTGAAATTGCACCATAAAACATTAAGGGTGCGGTCACATGGGCCTGTTTTTATCCATGTTTTAAACCAGTTTGAGTCAAAATGTATTCTTGCATTGGTCATGTTTGTAGTCTTGATTTAATCCTAGTTTAGTCCTGGTCAAGTTCAGATTTATTTCCAGGTTTCCTCTCACTTTTGACAGACCCACTCTAAAAAACAACCCCGAAGTAAATAATGGACATGTAATAACATTGAAGTCCAGAAACACTGACAATGTGAAAAGATAACGTTGCAAAAATTATCAGGTGTTAAATCGGGCTGTCACGATAATTACTACATCAGTTTATCTTCCAATACATTTTGGGGTTCAGTATGTATTAGGTGCACAATTTTTTAGAAATAGTGAGGAAATTTTTGCAATTTTTGTGTGATGATAAGGTAAGATTTAAGATGTAGAGGGTAAAATAACTTCTATGGCTAATTATTTATTTGTTACAGCTCAGGTCTTTATGATGCTGTCTATTTATACTGGTTTACTGATATTATCTTGCATTGTGTCAGAGGCATAAAATAGTTTAAATATTATCATTTATTGCAATATTTCTCTGTAGCAATACATTGTGCTTCAGAATGTGTTATCATGACCGGCCTAGTGCTACATCAAAATTCATGTGGGAAGAAACAAGTGAAGACATGTGTGTCTGAGATCAAATACAGTAAACATGTATTAAGAGATCTGTAATTCATTAATTTTGTTTCTTAGGAGCCCAAAAAGTTGAGCTACGCCGAGGTCTGCCAGAGACTCGCCAAAGACCCTCCTCCCGTCCAACCGTCTCCTCCCTCCGCCCCCTCTCCCCCCGCGTCCGAGTCCAACCAGCCCCTGCAGGAACTCAAAGTGAACCGGGTGCAAGAACCCCGTCACAACTCCAACAAACACCACAACGAAAAACCCAGAAACCACCAGCACTCACGTCCATTCAGAGGCTCCCAAGATCCAGAGAGGCCAGGGCCCAAGAACCGCGACAGACCCAGGAATTTCAACAAATCTTTTTCAGGGCAAAGAGGATTTAAACGCAGCGGAAAGGAGCAGAACATCCCTCCATCACCAAAATAGACTCTTGAAAGTGAAATTGTATGTAAAAAATGTGTACATAAGTGTAAATAATGAGATATATTTTCATTGAGAACAACTTTTTCAAATGGTTGTTCCCATGTATAGTATATTAATGGGCAGTTTGCGTTGTCCATTATAGATTAGAATTGGAATTTACTGTGCTTTTGAAGAGCAAAGATGAATTATTTTGTGTCACGGTGCACATTTTTAGACATTTCTTAAATCATGAATTGTCTAGATCTACTGAAAATCATGAGCTAAAGTGTTCTAAGTTTTGAAAGAATATATTGTTGGCTAAATGGTAAAAAAAAAAAAAAAAAAAAGGTCTATATGTCTAAATGAACTGAATTGCGTGTAATTACTTTTTAACAAAGTAATTTCTTGTTGATAATTTAACTTTTAATTATCAAATTGTTTTTTTTCTCTTATCAGTTCATTTTGTAATCAATTCTGATCGTGACTGTAAAGACTATAGTTATACTAGGATATTTTACTAGTTTAATCTGTAGCATAATGTTTGACTTAGCTTTATTCACTAAGATAAAGTAATGTAATTATCATATTTTGTGTGATAAAAAAAAATATTGAATTTCATGTAGCTCATTTTCTTGTCTTTAAAGAGGGGGTATTTTGCAAGTGTATTTGAGCTTTCTGTCATGTTTTAATGTTCCCTCATCAAAAAAATCAAAAACATGCCTGAAGAGGTTTTTTCACCATGCATGACCTTATTTTGAACCCTCTTTACAGTTTGCAGTACGATTCTGTCCAATGCTCAACCTGCAAGTCTACATCACTCATGCTCCCACACGACAATTCTCCATAAATACACAAAAACATGATATAAAATTGTACACTACAACTTCACAAACCTGATGCAATGTGCAGTAGTTTCATTAGCAGGATGCACGCTGATTGTGTTGTGATAGCGCTCTGAAGGAGGAATGACTTAATGTGGGGAGCAGAGACTCAGCATCAAAAACAAAAGTAAAACTTATGAAACATGTTAATACATTGTTTTCAGCAAATAGCATTTTCAAACCAATAAAAGGTAACTTGATCTGAATGTTATGTGTTAGCGGTAAATACCCCCTCTTTATGCTTGTAAATTATGTTTAAAGTCTGAAGTGATTTTACTCATTGATGTATGGACTCTTGTAGTACGTATAGTCAATAAGTTGAGTATAGCTTTGGGTATATTTGTCATAGTTTGAGTAACTGCACTTATATGAATCATAGAAATTATATTTGAAAATGTTGATTACTGAATTGCCTGAGCTTGTGTCACTGTATGTTTTAATCGTTACACTTCTATTTGTAGTGTGTGCGTTTTTTTTGTTGTTTTTTTTTTCCTCTTGTTAATTTCCAGTTACTAGATTATTTTACTGTGTTATGGAGAATTATGCCTCAAATTAAGCTTTGTGCCTTCACCTATATAACATGTTTTTGGATCTACTTGGGCATGACTAGACTGATGCATTGTGTGGATGATTTTTAATTGAGTAAATGTCTGTGTGTACATTCCTTTTGTCTATGTGTTGTCCTTATCATGAATGCTTGTAATTTTTTTTAGTTTATAACATAATCTGATGGTTACAGCACATACAATGGTGCACTATAAAATGTCTACCATTTGCCAGGCAATGAACCACAGTATGGTATATACACATATTTTGCATTTACAGGTATTTTTAATTGCAGAAAAGATGGGTTTGGTGGTCTTAAATTGTATGTAATATCTCCATGGAGAATATATGTTTTTGGACTCTAAAAAATTGCATACTGTCCCTTTAAATTTGGCTGTCTCCATGGAAACAAGCAAACGACTCGATTGAGCCAAGTTACAGGGCAGATTTGTGGAGAGAAGACAAAGTAAAAAAGCATGTTTGAGGCATTTTTTGAGCAAACACTTTCAACTAAATAGCTGCCATATATTTACTGTTGAATATTTCAGACAAATCACCACGGAGATGAGCAGAAAAGTTACACACTGCAGCTTTAAATAATCAGCAGTGCAGGTTGAGTGCTTTTACAGCCAGTGTCCACACAGTCCCAGATTGGTGAGGATTTATGCAGAGTGTAAACACAAGCAACGTTATGTAATTGATGTGGGATTACTTTGCACTTGCCTTGCTTAGAAATCGACACCATTTTGCATTCATTTAATCTAATCCTCTGCAATTAAAGTTTAAAATTGTACCCAGAATGCAATATAACTTGATATTTTTCAGACAGTTATTTATTATAGTAGTATTTTTGGCATCACCTCAAGTTGCGGGGTTAATCTCGTTACGTAAGCCTCGTGGAAGACTCTGATCTCGCGTTGTTTTGTGAATGGAAGTGTCAACAGCGGGGAGTGGGGACACAAGCCTCTCAAATATCGGTAATTTCTGGCATATTTTTACATTTAAATAAAATAATACAAAGCGCGTTACTTCAGTGGCATTGATGTTGTTTTTATGTGCTGTGATCGGTTTATAAAAATGCAGTTTAAATTAAGAAACGGCATGATCATTCACGTCTCCAACTTGGCGGATCTGTCGTGGTAAAGGTGAGCTAGCCTCGGTTAGCATTTAGCTTCTCCATTAGCTCAGATGGGCTATGCACTTTGCAATATCTTAACCTGTTATTGCGTTTCTACTTTTCTAAGCATGTCAGCTGTTTGTATTGGTTTTCAGGTGTTAAATGTTCACGTTGGATCGAGGTGACATGGTCTGATTTGCGAGCTTTTGTTGGAAGTTGTTGTAGTCGATGCTATGTTATGCTATGCTAATCAGACAGAGGCCCATCTTCTAAAGTCGAAGCTAGCCTCTTGAATTGTCACTCCGAGCCAAACCAGCACATGTTAACCTGGACCACCGCCCACACAGTTATCCACAGCACATCTGACACGATCTATGGCGTATCAGCCGTTTATTCATGCTCAGTAAACGTGGACTAACCCAAGGAACAAGCCACTACACCCACCCAATGTGATCTTTCCTTTTCTGCAGCTGTGAACTTGAAAATTGCAACATTTGAGATGCTGTTTTTATGCTGATTCTTATAGGATTGTTAATGTCGCATTAAAAACTAGTAATAATGTTAAATGTATGCAATTTTCTCTTTAATTTCTTTTGTATAGCCTAATAACTTAAGAAATACTTTAACAGTTTTCATTTTGGGGTGTTACAATTATTTGATTAACAGTCCAAATATTAAAAAGAGTTCAAATCAAGTCAAAGTAATGCCTAACATGTGCACGGAGAATTCCTTTGACAAAGAATTCATAGATGGAAAGATACACAGCGGTAAATATATTGTAATAACAGTGGAACAATGTGGGTTTTGTCTCTGCTCTACTGACAGCTCAGTATATGACATAGAATAACAAGCATGAGGTCGTACTTTATGGACCATCTTAAACTCAAGACGGTGTTAAAACAAATGCCCCAGGCGTGTGTTGTCACGACACTAACATTTCAAACTAACATTGATTTAGATACTAAGGAATTGACTCAATACAGATTACAGTACTACAATGACGATAAAAAGTAATTGAATGTCATTTTCATACACAGAATAATAGTGCTTTCTCATGTTACCATGAGGTCTTATATTTGTTCTGGGAAAGCTCAAATTCAGACTAAAACTGCTCAGTAAAGCTCAAATTGTGTCCTGTTGATGTGATGTTGTTTTTTTGTTTTTGTTTTTTTTTTAGTAACACAGCTTGTACTTTTTAACATAACCACACTTAAATATTCCACATACCAGGAGCCATTTTGTCCTCAAGAGGCTGCGCTTTAGTGTCTTTTGGGTCAAGTATTTAATACAAAATCTCGTTCAGTGGCCTGTTACAAGCGAATGACTGTCATACAAATAAATAGCCAAATTAATTAATTATATGTGGAATTGGCATATTTTTGTTTTTTTGTGAAAATCCATAGCTGTACAGACTTTTGGGAGAAAGGATTCTGATTTTTTGGTTCACTTCACATTTGGCTTATAAATTGGGCTTAAGTTACAATTTACAATCATTTTGTTCAGTGAGTAATCTTGGGATTATTCAATCAACTTTTGAATTGCTAAAAATATGAATATGACATTTTTCCTGAACCTGTGTCATTTTTATGTAATTACTGAGTATTAACACCTCTTCTCTCAGCACATGGCATGTTTTGGAGTCAATTTACAGTCCAGATAATGAATATTTGATTACTAAATTAGTTGATGACTATCTCAATAATTAATTTGTTGTGATTAATCAATTCACCTGTTTCAGTTTAGGAGTGGCTGATATGACAAATATCAAGGTTTTCTAAGATCCAAAACATGATTTTTTCCTGTTGATTCATGTCAGTTTAGTATGTTTTATACAGTTTCTGGAAGTTTACTCTTCACTGTGATTGTTTAAATCCAACTGTCACTCACTCAGAGCAGGCTCACCAATAAGCGCAATGGGCGGTGGAAAGTGTGTGTCTGACCATAGGGCTGCATTAAACAATATGGCAGTTTCTCCAATCCAGCAGATTGTTACAGGGATAAGATCACGCTACAGTATTTATCACCGTATCGCTCAGCTCCATTTCAGCGCTAGTCATTTTAAGATTTGTTTATTGCTACTCTGAATGATTTTGTTCTTGTGTGGCTGATAAATAAAAGGCTCTTTTTTTCCCTGAAGATTTCCAGGTCAGACTAGCTGCTGAGCCCCAGGATTTCGCTCTGAGATGGGGGACGACCGGCCTTTTGTGTGCACTGCCCCTGGATGTGGACAGGTACGACTCCCTCTATCTAATACGTATTCAGGGGCCATATTAAGGCAAGACAAGTTTATTTTTATAGAACGATTTGTACACAAAGTAAAGTGCTTTAGAGAGCAGGATAAAAATTGCACTATTCCAAAGGGTGCTAAATATGCTTGGAAATAGGGCTACATATGTAGTTTTGTACATTTTGTGCAATTATTTTTTCATGTTTAAATAAAGTTTTATGTATATTCTGTACGCAGCAGGTCAGCCAAAACAAAATACTGACCTGTGCTGGAGATTCAAGACCAGTAGATGATACACTGAAAAGTGCAAATATGGGCCAGATATATCAGCATATCTCTACAGATAATAATTATGACGATCAAAATATGGGTATGATTTTAAAAAGGATAGTCACTTAGTCATGATTAATCGTTGCGGACTTTCTTGTAAATAAATTGGTTGAGGTATTGCACAAATTTCAATGAACTAAGCCTTTTTAATAAAAATTGTGCTGCCTTCACAATAATTTATTTGATAATGTGCTTTATGTAAACAATGAATCGCCCCTTTCTACTATTAACGTATCAATACTATCATAAAGACATAGCCTAATATATTGTATTTATCTATCCTGCGTTTTCTTTTATTTCAGAGATTCACAAATGAGGACCACCTCTCAGTTCACAAACACAAACATGAAATGACGTTAAAATTTGGCCCAGCCCGAACAGACTCTGTCATCATCGCAGGTAATTACATTCACTTTTATTGGATTAGCAAAGCATTAGTCTAATCCAGGCATGGGTCATGGGTCAGTATGGATCATTTTCATCCAATACTGCTATCAGATTGCTTTTCTGGCTGTTTGGCTATATTTGAACATCTGTAGCTAGGCCCACAAACTGAAGTTTACAGAGCAAATTTAGACTTTTTTTTAGAATAACAATTAGAGCCCGACTGATATATCGGTTGGCCAGTATTAGAGACATCGGCTAGCGGCCTAAATCTAGCCGATATGGGCTGATAGTCCACGTGGACATGTTATACCTCTTTATAAAGCGTAGGCTCTCTATATTATGGCCATTTAATACAATTTACAGGCAGTTAAATGTCCTAATATGGGGCGCCCATCAGTATTTTGTAATTTGTCATTGTTTTTGACGCCGTATTGCCCCTGAAGTCACCCCCAGAGTCACGTCACTTACATGCGCTTGTTTACACTCCTGTACAGCCTCAGATCCACACGCACAACACTGAGGAACTGGCTTTAAATGCTCTTATGTCTGATCCACGATACTAATGATAAATAAAAGTGAACTTCAGTACAGTTTAGGACAGCAACAAAACTACTACTTGTTTGAATGTGGAGACTGTCCCACAGAGGACATAGGACTAACACAGCTGCTACAACATGTTGAATTATTTTCTTTTCACGAACAGTCATTTTGAGTCAGGATTAAAAGGACACTTATGTGTGAAGATTTGTAATCTGAGAGGAGCCTGTGCGAGTGGTGAGTGCTGTAAATGTGTCGGTTTTAGAGCTACTTTTGGTTCTTTCGCATTGGTGCTGTAGCCCCCACACATAAACAGCCTGTTTTCTCTTCCATTGGCCTAGTGCAGTGCTTCTCAAATAGTGGGGCGCGCCTGGGGGGGCGCGAGGCTCCGTCAAGGGGGGCGCGTTTGACCTCGGGGAACATGCTTTTTTATTTTTTTATTTAGATTTTTTTTACTGTCTTAAGTGCCGTTCACACCAAAGCGTCAAAAAACGCCTTGACGCCTCTATTTGGAGCCTTTGCATTTGAGTTTAGACGCCCCCGACGCGCATCTTTGACGCCGTGAACAAACGGGACAAAAATACTTGACGCGCGTCCGTTGCCCTGGAAACAAGAGCCCGGTCCCGGTCTTTTCCCGAAACAATGTCAGACCAGACAGAGAGAGAGTTTTTATGACATAAAACATCAACGGAGGAGATCGGGTCAACGACTGGGGCGTATATATATTTATACTCCGCTAATGACACTGGATCAGTCCCGGTCTAGTCCTGGTCTAATACCGGTCTAGTCGTGGTTTAATCACGGTCTAGTCCCGGTCTAGTCCTGGTCTAATCACGGTCTAGTCCCGGTCTGGTCCCGGTCTAGTCCCGGTCTAGTCCTGGTCTAATCACGGTCTAGTCCCGGTCTAGTCCTTGTTTAGTCTCGGTCTAGTCTCGGTCTAGTCTCGGTCTAGTCCTTGTTTAGTCTCGGTCTAGTCTCGGTCTAGTCTCGGTCTAGTCCTTGTTTAGTCCCGGTCTAGTCCTTGTTTAGTCCTGGTCCGGTCCTGGTGTATTCCTCGCGATCGGCTCGGTGATTGTGGCGTATATATTTATTCTCCGTTCATGTTTGTGGTTCTCGTTCTGGTTCTCGGGTCTTTCTTCCTGATAATAACGTCGCTGTGTCACTGGATACTCGTCCCTGATTGGTTGACGCGGCGCGTCTGACGCGAAAAGTTCAGCATTTTCAACTTCTTGACGCTGACGCCTTGGACGCGCGTCTTGGCCGCTGACGCCAAAACGCTGAAGACGCGCTGCGCTGGCGCCAGATTCGCGCCGCGCTGACGCCGAAAACGCGCCGCAAAAACGCAGGACGCTCTAGTCGCGCGTCCACATAGACTTTACATAGAAAGTGGACGCTTTGACGCTTTGGTCTAAACGGGCCTTTAGAATAAAGTGCAATTGCACTTCCACTACATTAGGGGGCAGAGCGCTCTCATTGGCAGAGTGTGCGCAGGGAGCATTCGTTCGGTGGTGTAGGAGTTTTGTTTGCACTGAGCATGCGCGCTTTGCACACAGCACAGAGTTTGAGTATGAAGTGTAGACACGAAGTGTAGAAGACCCTCAAGTGACACCATGAAAAAATATTTAACAGGGATGAGAAGACAGACGGAGAGAGACGGAGATAAAGAGACAAACGAAAATCTCCCGAAAGCTAAGACGAGGAAATATGACGAAGCATATGTAGCGCTTGGCTTCACTGTGACTACGGTGGGAGACGAGGAAAGACCGGTGTGCTTACTGTGTCTAAAAATGTTGGCAGCGGACAGCATGAAGCCCAATAAATTAAGGCGTCACTTAAATACATTACACCCCAATCACTCTGATAAGCCGCTTGAGTTTTTTCAGCGAAAACGTGCCGAATATTGCCGACAATCATCCCGCTTGTGACAGCTACTTCAGTAAACCAGCGAGCATTGTTGGCGTCATATAAGGTGGCAGTGTTACGCAGAGGTGTACTTATAACAATTTTATAGACAAATGATACTATCTATAGTCACGCGGGGGGGGCGCGAGATGTTTTATTCGTCCTAGGGGGGGCATGACAGAAAATAATTGAGAAGCACTGGCCTAGTGTAAAGTGACAATAGTGGCTGTACATGTTACTGGACCTGCATTGATTTGTAAATGTATTGTGAACAGGTGTGAATGATCGGCATTTACACATAATTAAGTACTGCAGCGTGCACGCATTTACTTCTAGAGGCTGATAGTGGTAGTTTACTTACGTTGTTTACTCGCTAGACTGCAAAAATGCCATTAGGCATTTACGTATGACTGTAAAGAAGCAGAATAACAATAAATGTCACCTAAACAAACCCACTTTAAAATCCAGTAGAGCCAGACCTAAGTTTTATAATCAATTGAATTTTTACAGTGAATTTTTAAATCACTAAATATATCGGCTCTCGGCACCTCCAACTTCCATTTTATCAGTATCATACAAGCCGCAAAAAAATCCATATACATTCGGGCTCTGATAACAACATGTATTTACCTGGGATTAGGGTTGTCAGAAGTATCACAAATCAGATACTGATCAGTACTAAAACTAGTATTGAAACGAGATACGCATTTGAGCATCTGTACTAAAAAAGTCACATTAACAGGACCAAATTTGAGCTTGGAACAATTTGTGTGCTTTTGATCGTTATTAGAATGAATATAATACCGTATACTAAGTACTATTAATTTTTTGTATGAAAAATTACATTATATTCCTTTTTTTTTCTTCATTGTGGTATTGTAATTTTTATCGAGTATTGGGTGAAATTCCTTGGTATCGAAAGTTTCAAATTTTTTCTAGTGTTTTAAAGTTATTCTCCTCTGACCTTATGCATTCTGAGCCTCTTAATTATTCACCATAATGAGTTTAGGCCAAAGCAGAGTTTTCCCTGATGATTAAAAAACTAGCATGCTAACTGTGCACCTTCTGATTATCAGACAATAAAATGTTTTATAGACGCTCGCATCAGACTTATTTTGACTTCAAGAGTTGCTTATACAATATATCTACTGGGGAGAGAAATAATGCTCAAATACATGGGGAAAAATGGATATAGACCCTTTAATCAGCACTAATATACAGTCCATCCTTAGTCTCGTCTAAAAGCACTCTGTTTCTAAGATTTAAATCCTCTCTAGGAGACAGTTTGCTCTGCTCTCAGTAATGATGTGTTTTTTGTTTTTCAGACCAAACACCAACTCCCACACGTTTCCTGAAAAACTGTGAAGAGGTCGGATTATTCAACGAACTGGCCACTTCGTTTGAGCAGGAGTTCACCAAGACACAGGACGAGGAGCACAGGACAAAAGCCATGGTCAGTGTAAAAGACCAGGGTCAGGAATGTTGGTTTAACGGATTCAAATGTACAAAGCAGTAAAATCTGTATTATTATATACATCATAGAAAAATATGAACTGTATGTAAGATTTTCATTTTAAATTTCATAAACTTGGCCTCTCTTTGTCCCCAAGTATAAGACATGTTCAAATCAAATATAGCTTTTACTGAACTGAACAATTATAATGCTTATTTATTCAGAAAGCAGAATGAGCCTCACATGAATCTCTCATTTGTGCTGCCAGTTTCAATGCTGAAATCCAGTTGGTTTAAACCTAAAATGTCTCTCTCTGATCTGAACGGTCTCTACCTAAACCCCGGCACCTGTACCAATCCTGAGCCAGTGCTAGTGCTGCCTCTGCAGTTCAGGGAGAAATTCTGGAGGTTCTGAGCTTCCACATGAAGCCTGTCCTTATACTGAGAATGAGACAAATACACATGTAATATATGTATTTAGACCTGCCGCAATGACAAACTTTTGTATGACGTATTACTAAAGAAGATCTAGATGATAAACAATAATACTGAATTATCCCCAAAAAACTCTATTCAAATGTGTGATATTGTTAAAAAAAAACACACAAACTGCTATAAATAAATAACAGAATGAGGCATTTTAAGAGTTTAGTAGTAGGTTGTGTCTATTATGAGTCACTCTACAGCTCATATTGAATTGTAGAACAGAAAAATAACAAAAAAAAATCCCCATAACAAAAAATCTTGTTCCATCTAACATGTATTTATCCCTAACCCAATATATTAATTATTGTGACAGGCCTGCATGTATGTGTCCTCTGTCTGCATATAGTTCATTTAACACCCTTACATTTCATTGTTTGGCCATGTCTGTTTTTATTCATCCAAATGAGAGCTGCATGCAGCACACAAAAGCCTTTAGTGGGTGCCACACAACCGCTCAACTAATGAATTCTTTTAAATGACTGTGATTAAAAGATTAATTAATGTTTCTGTTATTGTTTTTCTTTGTTTCTAGCCTGCTCCTTTACAAACCCCGTCAGACGTCAAAGATGAAGATGACAGCCCGCTACAGGTGGATTCTTCTGCTCCAGGAAGCCCAGACTCCTCATCCAGTATGTCCGACAGCTCTAGAGGCACCAAGGCAAGTCCACACACACTTACACGCTTACAACAGGAGGCCTGTAGTTTGTTTTGCTTCAATTTTAGAACTGTTTCCTAATAATGGCTATGGTTGAATCCCAACTTGAAATGTGCTTTGAAAGAACATCAGAAATAAATACATAAATAAAAAATATCCCAATTTTAATAGAATGACAATTAGCATAGTGCATATTTCTTCTGGATGAGTTTAAAATGTGAACTTTGAACCAAATCCTTTTATTAAAACATACTATTAAATCATAAATCTAATGTCAATGGTTGTCCGAACAATTTGATATTTCTCCCAAATGGTTCAACCCTAAAACCCTGAATAATCCTGACCAAAGACTGATCATTGTATTATTGCAGATGTCATTATTTTCTTGTCAACAGGAAATAATCCAAAAGCCGGTGGTCTCCTCCGCTCCCACACCGACCATCGTGCGCCCTGGGTCTCTCCCTCTTCATCTGAGCAGTGAGCACTTCCAACCCACCCTGCCCTCTCCCACCTCCGTCATCACACAAGCACCGCCCTCCAATCGGCAGCTAGGGTAAGGGTATTTAATTACACTGTTTATATTTTTAAGGGAAAATGTACATCTGATTCTTGGTTTACTGTAGGAATAGGAAATGCATATTTAAGAATGAATTTGAGTGGGTAGGAACTAAATCTGTAGCATACTTATGTTAAATGTATCTACTGTGGCATCACAGAATGTTAAAAACACTTTACTATTTATTTATTTATTTATTTAAACAGGTCACCAACCAGTGCTTATCCGCTCATGAGGCACCTCCCCAACGGACAGACTGTTCCTCTCCTGCCCAGCCCACAGATGACCTCAGTTATATCTGTAAGTCATTGATACTCAGTATTTTTTTTGTTTATTTGACATATATTTAACAATCACACCTGAAATCTGGCATTTGCAATACTTTTTTCAACTGCAATGCTACTGCTAAGTTTTTCTTGCTTTCTGTCTTTAAACCCCAATGAAGGGGCACTCTAGTCTTGACATGAAGCCTTTGTCTCACTGGTTGAATCTCCGGCTTGTGTGTGTGTGTGTGTGTGCAGTTGGCTCGGCCTGCCACCTCGGTGCCTAATATCCCTGGGATCCCCGGGCCTCCAGTCGGAGGAGGCAGCAGCGGCTCATCCTCTCCGTCTGGATACAGCCTGCACTCAGAGACCAAGATGGTGAGAGGAGGAGTGAGGAACAGAACTCAATATATTCATCATGAGTTCAAATTGTACGAACACATGTTGTCTGTATGTTCAGAGGTTAAAGGCTGCTCTGAGTCACCAGAGCTCTGGGTCAGATGGAGGATCGATCCCAGCTGTGCCCCAAAGACAGGAACAAAGCCAACAGCCCAGCCAGAACTCAGACGCCCCCTCACCCGCACAGCCACAGGTAGAGAGGACAGGAGGGAGAGAGAGCGAGGGAGGGGGAGGAGGCAGTACTATTGGAGGTCACACTGTAGGCTTCTATTGTTAGGGTTGACAAAAGTATCATAAATCAGATGCTAATCAATACTAAAACTAGATGGAAACTAGACTCATTTAAACCAGTATGGATAAATAAAAATGAAATCACAAACAGGACCAAATTTTACCTTTCCTGAACAGTTTTAGGATGATTTTGAGATTTATCAGAAGTTTTTAGATAAAGAGTAACATATAGAAAGTACTGTTAGTTTGCAGTGAAGATGTGGTATCGATAGCGATATTCGGAGTATCAGGTCTATTCTTTTGTATCAAATCAGATTTTACATTTTTCGTTTTGTGACATCTACTGCTGATCTCAATAATTATTATAACATGTTTTTTTTCTGCATCTAGCTACAGATATTTTTGGTAAAACACATATAACTTGGTTCTCCAATGTTAAAAATAGGTCTGATGCCTTCATGATTGTCTTGAGCTCATTCACTTAGTAAATGGATCATTGCTGATTTGTTTTTATGTCTTGCAGGTATCACCTGCTCAGCCCACTGGGGGGCGCCGGCGTCGTGCCTCAGAGATGGACCCGGACGAGAGGAGGCAGCGCTTCCTGGAGAGAAACAGAGCAGCAGCTTCACGATGTCGACAGAAACGGAAATTGTGGGTGAACTCTCTGGAGAAGAAAGCTGAGGACCTGGCCTCTATGAACGTGTCTCTAACGGTCAGTCTGAAGATACACAGAGGAGCGGGCAACGACTAGAGCCTGATAGAGCTTCATTTGGAGTGTGTTTCATGATAATGTGTAGGCTAGATAATATGGTGATAAAAATCTAATCATGATCTGATGCCTGTGACAATATGCTGTTTTGGTGATATTTCATGTTGTGATTCAGGTGGTTCTGTTTAATGTAGCTCGATGCTCAAACACAAACACTTTCCTAACTCACTTGTGTTCTCTTCTATTGGACAGGCTCCATAATCTTTGAGTGAGTTCTTTAAAAACATATATAGAAATACTAAAAGTTTTAATTGTTATCAAATATAAATCATGATCTCCTCCCTAAAGAAGACATATTTTGCTTGTGTCTGCTATGTAATTATAATCTAAGACGTAAACGTCATCACAACAAAGAGCCGTGCTGTTGTCAGCCCCTCCTATGGATAGATGCACATCACACTAGTGACCCGCAGATTTTTTTTTTTTCATTTGTACCAAACTGACTGTGCAGAGCTGTCGAATCGAATTGAATCTAATCACAGATTAAGAAAATAAAATTGGTTGTATGCAGTTTGTGGTGAAAACGGGGATTGAACGTCAATATGGTGTCTTGAAATCCATCAATGAAAGATTGCTCAAACAAGCTCTGAAAAGTTGATTTTGCATAATAAATGTGCTTTCTGGCAGGACTAATCTATTTTGGGACTATAGAAACCCTAGCTTTTCAGTCCAGTACTTACAAATTGAAAATGACTTCCAGATGGTTGTCAAAAGCCCTTGATTGAACATCTGTATATATTGTTCTCAGATGACTACCTATGAAACCTTTTCTACCATGAATTTTGCTCTAGAAAATGTAGATACTTTTTGACGTGGCCCACCCCTAATATACCCCTGTTGTGTTTCAGAATGAAGTGACTCTCCTGAGGAACGAGGTGGCTCAGCTCAAACAGCTGCTGTTGGCTCATAAAGACTGTCCAGTGACGCTAATGCAGAAGAAGGCTGCTATGTTAGGTACAGCCCACTCAAAAACTCTCACTCTCTAATGTCATGTCTCTTTGGATCTGGGGGTGGGCGATATTGACATTTCTAAATGTCTTGGTTGTGCTTCAAGTATTGCACAAACATGAATAGAGCGTAATATCAACACAAAAGGGCAGAACATCACTTTATGATTTTGTTTGGGAGACTACAGCTAATTTTATTTTTATTTGTCTCTTTTAATGATGTATAATGTATAATGATATACTCAATGTTCTCATTTTGCATATCTCCAGAGCTATTGTGAAAGTTTCCATTTTTCTCTATATCTTCCACCCCTATTTATAAACCCTCACAAAATACCCCTCATTATTGTCAACCATTTTTATACATGTTTTTTTAAGTTATCAAACTTTGAATTCATTTCACATAATTTATTGTGTTATGTAAATGGAGCTGTGGGATATTTATGAATTGTTACCTAAGTCTGAGTGATATGGTGATCAGTCTAATCCTGGTCTCATAACGGACAATGTGCTATTTTGGCCAAATCAACATAGCGCCATTTACACATTTTTTTCTTGAATACAGCTCTATGTACATTTTTTTCTTCTCACCCACACATCCTGTTGGTCGGTGGTTTTAAAGATTAATTTAATAATGCAAATTATTAAATTGCAATGGAATCTTGTGAGCTTTAAGACATGTTTTAATTGCCTGTTAGTTCCCTCCTCAAAAACAGACATGGAGTTGTGTTTTGTTTCAGACACACATGTTTGAGTAACTCTTTATTATTATTGATTTAATTGATTCATTTGTTTTTATTTCGAGTTTGTGCCAAGAGAGAAACAATAATCATACACATACTACATATACATTGTAAACAACAGAAAAGCAATTTTCTCAAAAAGGAAAAGGGGGAAAAAGAAAAACATATGAACCCACCCCTGTTCGTGACATAGTTTCAAAAATGATATGGTTGCTTATGTACACTGATCATGAAACTTTACAAATATTTACACAGAGCAAAATTAGTCTGTCTACATCTCCAACCTCAAAATGCTCTGTTGCACCTTGTGATGTCATGTAGTGGTAGTTTTCAAGTTAACAGCTTCTTTTACCTTTTGTTTAGTACATTGAAAATTCCAGGTTTGCAATGTTCCAAATGATTCTAGTGAAGGTGCATGAACACCGTGGAGCACTTCCTGTATTACCACATGACATCACAAGGTGGAACAGAGTGTTTTCTGTTTGATAAAAGATCTCAGCCTGCAGGGTTTGTGTGTTAAACATGTGTGAATGAAAAAAAACACAACTCCAGCTCTGTTTGTGATGAGGAAAACTACATTAGAACATAGCACAACCTGAGCCCTATAAGCTATTTTTTCTTGCTTTTGGTTAAATATTTATCTCACTGTTTATTCCACCTTTTTCAGTATTTAAATTTCCTTTTTGTTGGTCCCATCTTCCACCTCATCTAATTCCCTGTACCTCTCACTCTCTAAGGGTGATGTGTGTGTGTATGTACCTAGCTGCAGGCGGAGCAGAGGACTCGGAGCCGGTCGGATCTCCAGCCGCTGTGATCCAACACGGCCCCTCGCCCCCTGTCCCCGCCCCCTCACCCCCTATCTCCGCGCCCTCCATCAACGGCATGAGCGTGCGGGCTGCCGAGGCCGTGGCTATACTGGCTGGGATGGGCTCCGGGCAACCAGCGGGCGTTCTAATGTCGACGCACTCTCCCTCCTCTGCCCCGAGATGATTGGTCCATGCCGGTAGTGGAACTGAAACTCAAGGAGGGCAAGAAGGGCAAAAATGTGTTCAATAAATAACATAAGGGACCTATCCTTTAATTTAAGACACACAAACACAGTGCCTCCACCTCCTCCTCGTCCCGAAAACTCCACACATCTGCATTTGTAAATTCAGAAATCTGCATTGTACATTTGCGCTTCTGAGGCCGGGCCTTCGTCTTACCGGCTCGTCCTGAAATGGAATAGTGTAACTGTTCATAATTTGTTCTCATTTCTCTTTTTTAAAATGCAGCTTTATTTGTCTGTTCACTCAAAGCCTGGTCAGCCATTCCCAAAATTGCTTTCATACGTCTATATCAGTGACATAGTGTTGTAACGGTTAGTGCTTGTGCCTCGCAACAAGAAGGTCCCAGGTTCAATTCTAGTCTTCTGTGTAGACTATAGAGTTTGCGTGTGTCTACAAAGGTTTCCCCTAAAAACAAATAGGGTCTCCTCTAGGGACGGACTCCTGTAAAAGAGACTGTGAATCTCAGTGAGAGTCTCCTCCTGGTTATTTAACGGTTAGTCCTATTTTTTTTTTTTTTTTTATCAAATTTTGTTCTCTGGACTGTCCCCTAAACTTATTTCTAGAGCACAATTTGTACAAAAAATTGCCAAATTTCTTTCTGATCCTGGTCCCGCTGATTACTCGCATCAGATTTTGTGGTTTGCATTTGATTTAAATAATCTTAAAGGTCTCGAAATCAGATTATTATTTTTTTTTAGCCTTTATTTTTTATTAAACCGTATCAAATCAATTCGAAAAACACAACCGGTCAAAAGTTTTAGAACACACTTTTTCCAGTTTTTCAGTTCAGAGATTCAGTTTATTGCATTCTGAAATGAAAGCATAGAACAAATAAGCAATTTGAGTTGAAAAAGAAATGATGTGTTCAGATATAACAGCTGAACACACTCGTGGCATTCTTTCTACAGTAAAAATATTCTTCAGAATGTTCTTCCCAAGTCTGTTGCAGAAGTTCCCATAAATGTGTGGCACCTGTAGGTTGCTTCACTCTTCTGTCCAGGTCTTTTTTTTTTTTAGAAATCAGATTATAATCAGATTTGGTGTGCATGTGAACATAACCACATCACCACACTGTAGAAAATCTGCTGTTTCCCAAGCCCCAAAACTCCACGCTACAAAATCAGCGATGTCCAGGTACGGGGTGATGAGATGCAAGACCCTATATTTACCACAACACATTATAATCACATAGACAAACCTTATTGATACTTTGCAGTAACGTAACGCTGTGGCTCTACTATGGACAAATATTTAACAGGTGACACAATGCGCACATGAAACACACAAACACACCCTGACAGGTTTTGATACTGTCTGAAAACTCAAGAAAAAGTACAAAATTAATTTATACGAACATTCACAGTTCCATTTAGGTGTGAAAGAGCTCGTGACTATAATGTGATTTGAGTTGAATGCGTTTAACAGCACAAATCAGCTCACCTGTTGTACTTCCAAGTGACTAAGCCTTTTCTGATCAGATTGCACAAAAACAAAGATAAGATTAAAGTCTAACTTGAGTAAGAGAGCTCTAGTTATCCTCACACTCCCAAGGAATGTTGACGACACCAGCTGCAAAGTATCAATTGGTCCATTAGGGAAATTGTTCAGACACAGTAGCTCAGAAATACATAATTAAACCCATGTTGGTAACCCGTATTTAACCCTCACGTTGTTGCGTAGAACACAGACCAAAATGGCTGATCAGGCTCGGGTGTCTCTTGCCCATGACACGGTTCAGTACTTCCCAGTGGCTTCTCTATACTGTGTAATATATCGTGTAAATACTATGTAAGAAAAGATTTTAAAGACATTGATTGTTCATATTTGCAGTTAAGATCGCACTGGGGGGTATGTTGAATACTCTGTTTACTTTTTGTTGTTGTTTTTAAAGGTGTATTATGTAACGTCACTGATATGGGGTATGCTTCGTACTCGTCTCCATGGAGATGTGATTGCTTTGTTCTGAATGTTTCACAGTATGGCATTAAAGGTTTTGTACTAGATTTTTTTCCTTGTATTTGAGCAAAGTGTGTCTTGCCCCATTACAGATATACAGTTTAAGCAGCTCTCGAGGTCAAAAAAAGTCCTGTGTACTGTCTGTATCTAATTAGAAACTGTGGAAGTGCGCGGTTAGCATGCTAGTTTTTGTAAGATTTACTGTTACATGGCGAGGAGAAAATTCAGTTTGTCGACTGGACATTAATTAGTTTGGTTGAAGACATTTCGGAGCTCATCCAAGCTGCTTCTTCAGTCCTGGTCAGACGCTGTGGACACTTCCTTATCTCTGTCTGCTGAGAGGAGCTAACTACACTGAAACTACTCTGAAACTAACACACCTACTGGTTTACAGTTTCTGTTTGTTAGTTCGGCCTATTGACCTGTACCGGGTGTGGGGTCTAATTAGCAGAACCATTCAGGGCCATAATGGAGCTCCCTCACCTCTGGACCTGACCTGGCTACACCTGTTGTTCTCTTGTTTGTTTTGATTTAGGTTTGAGGATGAAGATCCCTGTCTAGTTCAAACCTACGAACACTCTTAAGACAGAAACTGGTCCACCCAAAGGACAAAACACTGAGTCACACACAAAGCAATGTGGTCTACTCCATTCAGTGCAGTGAAGACTGCAGTAAACGCTACACTGCAGAAACTAAACAGACACTGCACAAGAGGATGAACCAACACAGACGAGAGAGCAGCAGTGGACCTCAGTCTGCTGTACATCTCCACTTAAAAGCCACGGGCTACTCATTCGAGAACAACGAGGTACAGATTTTAGCCAGAGAAAAGATTTGGTTTGAGAGGGGAGTGAAAGAAGCCATTTTTGTTAAGAAAGAGAATCCTTATCTAAACAGAAATGGAGGCCTCAGACACCATCTGTCTCCTATTTACAACTCCATCCTCAAACCTAAATCAAAACAAACAAGAGAACAACAGGTGTATCCAGGTCAGGTCCAGAGGTGAGAGAGCTCCATTATGACCCTAAATGGTTCTGCTAATTAGACCCCACACCCTGTACAGGTCAATAGGCCGAACTAACAAACAGAAACTGTAAACAAGTAGGTGTGTTAGTTTCAGAGTAGTTAGTTAGCTCCTCCCTGAAGACAGATATAAGGAAGTGTCCACCAACATTCTGACCAGAAATGAAGAATCAGCCTGGATGAGCTGCAAAAAAACACTTATAATTTCATTTTGGTGAGTGCTCTGAATTGCATAAGGGAAATGAGGAATAACTGTGGACCACTGTAAACTGTTTAAAATGAACTAGTTCTGTTTTTAATTATGTAAATATTGTGTGGATACATTTAATGCCATATAGTTTAACTTTCTAAGCAAAGCACTGACATCTCCATGGAAACAAACAGGCAGCAGACCCCACATCACTAAAGTTCCGTAGTGCATCTTTAATATAATTTCTTCTACCTAAAATACCCATGTCATGTAACTGTTTTGTGCATAAACCAAACTTATAGATGTGAACACAGATTATCCCTGTGTAGTGCCTGGCGTTTTACCATTTTGTTCAAAACATATTAAAATGTCATAGCATTAAGTGTATGTATCGAACCCTAAAGACTGCATGGACTTATTCAAAATGGCTGACGACGACCACTGTTGTGCTTCAAACTATCATTGTTCCTGCTTTTCCAAATGTCTTTTTAAACTTAAATGATAAACTTATTGATGCAAAAACCATGTAAGAATTCCCTTTTCAATGTAACACTTGAAATGGTTAGCTTTAGATTATCTCGATAATCACAACTGCGGCAGTGGTTCTCAACTGGTTCCACGTCTGGAGATCAATTTGGCATTTTATTTTAACGCATTTATTTAGAGACTGTTGCTAATAAGACTCGAGGTGCATTCACACGCAGAAAATGGGACTGAACGTGGACGAAACCAGGATAAACATGGCCTAGACCAGGACTAGACCAGGACTAGACCAGGACTAAATCAGGATAAACATCGGCTAGACCAGGACAATATCAGGACTAGACCAGGACTAAACCAGGATTAGACCAGGATAAACGTGGGCTAGACCAGGAAAATACAAGGACTATACAAGGACTAAACCAGGATTAAACTAGGACTAAACCAGGACTAAAACCGAGATAAATGGGGGCTAGATCAGGACAATACAAGGACTAAACCAGGTCTAAACCAGGACTATACCACGTCTAAAGCAGGACTAAACCAGGACTAAACGTGGGATAGATCAGGACAATACAAGGACTAAACCAGGACTAAATCAGGACTAAATGTGGGCTAGGTCAGGACAATACAAGGACAAAACCAGGACTTAACCAGGACTAAACCAGGTCTAAACCAGGACTGTACAAGAACTAAATGAGGATTAAACAAAGATTAAGAAAATAGGACTAAAAACCCGGACTAAAAAAACAGAACTAGAACTAGACCAAATTTAAAAAAAAAAATCAGAGGAGGAATGTGAATACAACCCTAACATGTCATATGATTTATGATTAATTTCAATTTATTATTCTAAACTATATATGCATTTTCACATTACATTTTATCAAACCAAAATGACTAGGTGCTTTAATAGATTTTGAATTATTATTTCTACTACTTCTCTTGCTTCCAGTAGCTGAAAAGGCATGTTAACAATCTGGATGTGTCTTGCTTAATGTATCTTGGATTCAAACTAGCCACCTCTCTGGTTAACCATCAACCGCAACCTTTGGATTTACAAATTAAACTACTGATATTATTTTAAGTTTAAATTTTTTTCTTCTCAATATAAGACAAAACTTGACAATATTTTCCACAGCCAACTACGACCAGCTGAGAATCACTGCTGTTTTACGATGTTTGAAATAATCCAGGTAGTTTCATTTGAGGATTCGAGGAAAGAGTAGTGCAATATATATTTTTCTATTTTAAGCGTTCTGAAATGTGAGTGAATGGTTCTCCTTCTTATTATAGGCCTGGACTAAATGAACTAGACACTATTTGTGCTTTGTGCGGCATTTGAGATTTGCATATTTTATAATATTGTACTTCCGCAGCATATTTTCCCATATTTTTTACTTTCAAATTTTTATTTTTGTGTGACTGTCCCTTCATGTGGAGGTTTTGTCCATGTTTTTGTCTAGTTTTTTCATAACCATGTGAAATACTGTCGGCAGCACAGATCTGGCTTAGAAATGAATAACTTGTGTACAGTCTGAACGTATGGTATCTCTGACAAATAATTCAAAATAAATGAATGGAAATGAGAGAGACCTGTGCTAAAATTATATCTTACTTTTTAGAAGAATACTTTGGTCTAGTTAAATTTTTTAGGTATTTTAGGTGAAGCAAAAAAACAAAAAAACTAACCTATCTCCGTGGAGACAAGTAGGTGACGCCACCACGTCAAGTTACAGCCTGAGATCTGCAGAGAGGAGAAGTGAATAAATACACAACAGATAAGTTTAAAGCTTTACAGTCACTGTGGAACATCCTAAAGCAATAACATTTCCATGGAGACATACATACATATCTCGATACATAGGCCACGATGCGATACATATGTCCATACAATGCACTTTTGACTCAATACGATATATTTCAAATCAATTAGATACGGTTCAGTTAAACTAAAGGCTAAATCATGACTGTGATACTAAAAGTCTTTGTTAAACCACTTCTTGTGCCAAGTTCATATGAAACACAAACATTTTAATCATCAAAACAGTGAAAATGTCAAATGCGTTGCTTAAACGAGTTTCCTTTCTCTAAACAAACAACAAAACTGTAGCTGTAACAAAATAATTTAGTAAAATATACCAAAAAAACTCTCTGTGATATATTGATACAGAAGCAGATACAGACATGTATTGGCTTATTGGCATATCCAACAGTTCTGAAGATGCAGCAGCAGCAGAAACATGTCAACAAGGTAAATACACTTTACTGTATTATCTTTAAAAAGAACCCAAGAAGTTGAAGTACATAAGAAGACAAAATGAACGTCTTTGGCTTCATACAGAAGCCCATGATATCGATACTGTATCATCACATAAAACAATACGATATACTGATATTTGATTTTTGCACACCGCTAGTGTGTATCAGTCCACACCTCCCAGCTGCAGCTTTTATCCATTTTATAAAAATGTATCTGCTGTACAGACAAATTAATACAATAAAAGACAGTCAATTATAAATAAAAACAATAAATAAAAAGTGTAAAAAAGCATAAAGCTAAAAAAAAAAAAAAAAAAGATAAAAAAAAAAAAAATTAACTACCATAAAAAAATATTTCAGCCAGAGAATAAAAATCATGTATCATTTGGGTTCAAATTAAAACCACATTTTTAAAACCTTGGAGTTTTAGGCTAAATCAGTTGTAATCTTAAGTGATTCCTCTTCTTGAATATATGATCATCAAACAATAACAATTCCAACAGGAAAGTTACACAGCGCATCTTTATTTTAATTCAATTTTAAGTCAAGTTTATTCAGTTTTATTAGCGTTTGTTTTGAATTAGCAGCCAGTTTCAGCAGAATCCCATAATATTTCTCTATTCTTGTGTGTGAAAGATCTAGACAAAACAAGACAGAACCAGACTGGTACTTTTGACTTTAGAACTTTTGGGATTTGTCCTGGTTTGACCCTAGTTAGTGTTAAAATAGTCTCTTTGATGGTGTCAGAAAAGAAGTGGAACTGCACAATATTAAAGAAACTACACACATCTGCAGAGGAGACAGGGCCAAGGTCTTGTCAGAAAAATGCAACGGAAAAGATGTAATAATAAGTGATTCCTCCTCTTGAATATACAGTATCCTCCTGAGACCCGGCTCATACATATGTGTCCATTATAGTGGACACTGAGTTAACCAGTCTGTCTTTAAGTGGTTTGAGATAGACTCGGTTCTTCTGCATAGATAGGGCTGGGGATTATGGGATACTATCATGTCCAAGATAAAAAATAAATAAAAATGAACTCAATACTCGGTGACCAAATTTTCAAAATAAAAAAACTGGGATATCCCTGGTTTGGAGTGGTTGGTAATAATAAAATTGTGAAACGAGAGTCTAATTAAGGAGAATTGTTTTGCACTCGGCCCATTCATGACTAACATGTGTCAGTATAATCACATTTTCTTTGTGTTTTGGTCATTTTTAAGCAGCATTTCTGTATTTTACCTAAACAAATAACAATGTACGTCTCTCTTTACTGTTGGCAGGGTTCAGATTGGTCAAAAATATGGACACCTGGGACGTTTCTTGTGTAAAACTTGGATGAATCACTGGTTTTAGATAAATCTGCTGGGACACTGGACACGGCGCAAAACTGGGACTGTCCCGGATATATAGGGACACTATGATAAAATAAAAAAAATTAAATAAAAAATTTAAATCGAGTCTAAAAACTTTTTGAGGAGACTGTAGAAGCTTGTCAGAGATGATGCTGGTCATCAGAAAAGTTGTTATTGTTGTTAACATCACATGCATTTAACACCAAAATGTCCCCAGCGTCCATTACAGTGGACATATTACAAATTATAAATGAAAAATAAATAAAATTAACAAAATCTAAATGCTAAAATGGTCATTTACCTCCAAATAGATAGAAAATCACAAAATATATACATATACACTTTTTTTTTCGGGTCCAAGGAGGATACGGTGAAAGTTCTGTGTCATTTGGGCCCCTGTCCGGCAGAGGGCGCATGGAGCCTGTGTCCACGGTGTCCATTTATCCTCCTGCGCCCGCGTCACGTGACTCTGCCTCCGCTCTGCTCCATCTCCCTCGGTCCCTCAGTCATGGCGGTGCAGGGAAGGAGCCGAGAAGATGGTCTAAACCGCAAAACAACACCATGATCTGCTTGAGTTAGACTCCAGCAGCTCCACTTTGGACTTTACCGTTCGGATCTCCGCTCTTGTTTCGCCTCCGGGACTGACGCGCTTCCCCGACCCTGCGCCCGAGCCATGGCCGACCGCGGCGTTGATTTGTCGGCTCTGCCTAAAGAGGTCAGGGACCAGCTGGCGGAGTTGGACCTGGAGCTCTCTGAAGGTGAGACAGCGCTGGTTTGGGGCTTGTTTGCGGATGTTTTTGCGGCGGGGAGAAGCGAGACTGCGGTAAACGCGGTGACAGAGCGAGAAAGCAGCGAGACGAGCCTGGAGCTGTACGGAGTGCATCCGACAGCGAAAACACACAAGCTCCTGACCTCGTTTTCAACATGACATGACATGCAATGTAATTAGTGATCGCAGCATTAAGCGTTGCATTGTGGGAGTCATTGTTGTAGTTTTTGACGAGCTTTATGATGCTAATGTTTGTAGGCTAAATGTTATAACAGTATTGTCTGCCTGTTCAGTCTTGTTTATTTTGCAGCTTGCATTGACTGGAAATAGTTGCTGCAATATTCACTACACAGCTGTTTTACTTTGTATTTATGTATTTTTGCACCATTTAAAACTATTTTATTTGTCTATCCGTTCATTTTCTATACAAACTGCAAGAACGCGTTAATAGGGTGACCAGATGTCCCTATTTTATCGTGACCAGATGTCTCTATTTACCTGGGACAGTCCCAGTTTTAAGCCTGTGTCCCCTGTCCTCGCAGATTCATCCAAAACCATTGATTTGTTCCAGTTTTATAGAAGAAATGTCTCAGGTGTTCCTATTTTTGATTAACTTGAGCTCTACCAACAATAAAGAGAGTCATAAATTGTCATCTGTTTAGGTAAAATACAGAACAGCTGCTCAAAAATGACCAAAACACAAAGAAAAATGTGACAATACTGACACGTATTAGTCATTAATTAGTCGTGAATGGGCCGAGTGCAAAACAGTGTTCCTTAATTACGCACTCCTTTCATAATTTTATTATTATGAACCAACATAAACCAGGGATGTCCCAATTTTGATTTTGAAAATATGGTCACCCTGCCCTATTTACCTAGGGCAGTCCCAGTTTTGAGCCCTGTGTCCCCTGTCCTTGCAGATTCATCCAAAACCATTGATTTGTTCCAGTTTTATACAAGAAATGTCTCAGGTGTCCCTATTTTTGATTAACGTGAACTCTACCAACAGTAAAGTGAGACATAAATTGTCATCTGTTTAGGTAAAATACAGAAAAGCTGCTTAAAAACGACAAAAACACAAAGAAAATGTGACTATACTGGCTCATATTCGTCATTAATTAGTCGTGAATGGGCCGAGTGCACAACAGTTTTCCTTAATTATGCACTCATTTCATATTTTTATTATTACCAACCACCCTAAACCGGGGATGTCCCAGTTTTTGATTTTGAAAATGTGGTCACTGTACCCTATTTACCCAGGACAGTCCCAATTTTGAATCCTGTGCCGTCTGTCCCTGCAGATTCATCCAAAACCAGTGCTTTATCCAAGTTTTATACAAGAAATGTCCCAGGTGTCCCTATTTTTAACCAATTTGATCTCTGCCAACAGTTGTCATCTGTTTAGGTAAAATACAGAAAAGCTGCTTAAAAATGACCAAAACACAAAGAAAATGTGATTATACTGACTCATATTAGTCGTTAATTAGTCATGAATGGGCCGAGTGCACAACAGTTTTCCTTAATTACACACTTGTTTCATAATTTTATTATTACCAACCATCCTAAACCGGGGATGTCCCAGTTTGAAAATCTGGTCACCCTGCCCTGTTTACCTGAGACAGTCCCAGTTTTGAGCCCTGACCCAGCAAATTTGTCCAAAGCCAGTTTTATACAAGAAATGTCCCAGGTGTCCTTATTTTTGCCCACTTTGACACTCACCAACAGTAGAGCAGAATATATTGTCATTTGTTTAACTAAAATACAGAAAGTTGAGCCTGAAAATGACCAGAAGAAAAAAAAAACACTGTCAGAAGTCCCTCAGATTAAGACTGACCCACAAAGTAAGTTAAGAATACACAATATTATTACACGCTCTTTTCACAATTTTATTCTTACCGACTATCCCGACCAGGGTGTGTCTCAGTCTAGAACTTTGAAAATCTGGTCACCCTACTTTAATAAGACATTTAGTAGTATATAATAATAATTTTCCATGCTTCACTGCCATACAACTCTATTATAGTGTTATAATATTGCGCTATATTGTGTATTGTTTATGGAAATTCAACGCATAATCTGTAAATAACATGCTTTCTGCCATCATACTTTTCTATAGTTAAAGGTGCACGATGTAATTTCCCTGATGAAAGGTCTGCCATCTGCTTGTTTCCATGGCGATTTTACTGCTTAGCCTGGAATGTCCCATAGTCTGGCATTATGTTTTTCTATCCAGCGTTTATGCAGTGCTTAGAATACTCTGAGAAATGTTGTGAGCGGACCCTCCTCTCCACAGATCTAAAGTGTAACTGGGCCTGCTTGTCTCATACTGTGGAACATTTCAGGCAAAGGCAATAACAATTGCATGGAGACGAGCAGGTAGCAGAAAAGTTATATAATTTGCTTCTCTGTCAAGTTTATTACAGTATTTTTTTTTAAATTCGCAGCCAGTTTCAGCAGAGTCTTGTGATGTTGCACTATTTTTTATTGTGGTGAGTGTGAGAGACTCAGACAAAACAAGACAGAACCAGACTGGTACTTTGGACTGAAGAACTTTTGGGATTTGTCCTGGTTTGACCCTAGTTAGTGGTAAAATAGTCCCGTTGATGCTGTCAGAAAAGAAGTGGGACTGCACAATATTAAAGAAACTACACACATCTGCAGAGGAGACAGGGCCAAGGTCTTGACAGAAAATTGCAATGGAAAAGGTGCAGATTTCTGACTTGAATATGAACTTATTTGAACTTACATTTCTGTTCTTTTTCCATTAAAGCTCCCATTTTACACTTTTTTCTGATCTGTTGTAATGTTGTTTCCTCATCACAAACAGACCTGGAGTTGTGTTTTGTTTCATTCACTCATGTTTAACGCACAAACCCTGCACATTTACACTGAATTCTTCTCTCTTCCACCCTGTGATGTCACGTGGTAATACTCAAAATGCTCCATTGCGTTTTTAAACTCCATACACCTTCACTAGAATCATATGGACAATTTTAGCCCTGAAATTTCCCCATCTGCTCCGAACAAAAAGTAAAAGGAGCCGTTAAAATACCGCTTCATGACATCACAAATTGGAACAGAGCATTTTGAGCTTTGGAGATGTACAGAGATTAATAATAAAGCAAACATGTGTGAATGAAACTAAACACAACTCCAAGTCTGTTTTGGAGGAGGTAAAAACATTATAACATGACTTAAAGCTCACAAGAGTTGATTTCGCATAATGTAGGACTTTTAATGTTAGGTTCATGACACGATCACCAGTTTTTGGCCGAGTTTGATCCTTACGTACACTTGGTTTGGTCTGGTTATAGTCCTGGCTTAGTTCTTGGTATGACAGGGCTGAAACAAGTTAATCAAAGAATCGTCAATATTTTATGACTCAAATAATTGCTATCTGGATTGTAGTACCAACATTTCCTCCACAAACAATGACATTTCTTGTCTTATTTTGCATAAAAACTGCTGTTTAGATCTGTACTAACATGTTCTGAAATGTGAAACTTGTATTAGTTTGTCAGTTCAGATTTCAATGTTTTTGTCAATTCTTCAAGTTAGAATGTTGTTTCCTCCTCAAAAACAAACCTGGAATTGTGTTTTCATGTGTTCATTCACGCATGTTTGATCATTTATTATTAGTCTGTCTACATCTCCTATGTTCAAAATGCTCTTGCTCACAAAAAAATGCTCACAACAGCTATCATTTACTTATAATTCAGTTGAGATTGGCAATTCGAGGGCTGCAATCATCCAAATTATTCTAGTGAAGGTGTATGGAGTTTAAAAACCCTTTACTACCACATGACATCACAAAGTAGAACAGAGCGTTTTCCGTTTGAGAGAAGAACTCTGCGTAAATCTGCAGGGTTAAACATTTGTTAAGCATGTGTGAATGAAACAAAACAAACTCCGGGTCTGTTTGTGATGAGGAAACAAGATTATAATATAGATCAGAAAATAGTGCAATATAGGCCCTTTAAAATCTGAACTTGAGACAGAATCCTACTAAAAAAAACAATTATTACACTTACAATTACAATTATTGTCAGAAAATGTGATGTTTTTCACTCATCATAGCCACAGTTAGTTTTGTTGTGTCTATTCTCCACACTTTAATGCTCCAATATGATTATTATTTTTACATTTCTTTAACATTTAGCTCTTTTTTGCCAACACTTTTAACACACGATAGATGTTTCTCTTGATGTGAGCATTTCTATATGTTGTTTATACCGTTGTTGAAAATCTACAATACATTATTTATTGCCATAGTCATCGGGGCATTATGATATAGTGTATGTCTTGAAAAGTGGGTCAAGTCTTGTGTCCCTGAGGCCTGTTATATGAGGGAGATCTCCATGGACTGCGCTCCACTCTGCCGCTCTGCTCACTGCCTCAGCTGCACCTATAGGTCAGAGGGTAAGAATTTATTGAAAAAGGTTTATTAGATTGAGCTCACAGTAAATTTGATGTCATTTACTGTTTTTGAATGAAATATCCAAACTTGAAACCCGCAAATGTTGAAAACTTATAATTATTTGTCAGGAAATGAGGCTTTCTCTTTTGTTTATTTACACTGACAGCGAAGATGTTGGACTGTGAATAGGTCCATTCATTACAGGGATATGAACCATAAACCATTTTTAAACACTTTCTCCCATAGACTTGCCCTACAGTTCAGCGTTAAACTATGGGGATTTTAATATGCTGTGATATCATGATAAAGATGCACTATGTCACTTTTCTAGTAGAGGATACTCCACTTGCTTGTGTCCAGGGAATGTGCCTGAAATGTCCCACAGTATCTCTTTAAACATTAGACGTCTTATGGATGTGCAGTTCAAGTCTATGTTGCGTCCGTCGTTCCAAGACCAATTTTGGACAAAAAAATGTCGTGCAAATTATTATTTTTAATAGTATTTTTAGTCATGGGGACGTCTAATACAGGCACAGGAAAATGACTTTATTAATAGTCATGTAAATTCT